TCCGCTCGCTGTCCCTTCCTTGCCAGTCTTCCGACCGGCTGCGCAACCCCAGGCGTCGGAGCGCTGCAGTGACTTCCGACTCTAAGTGCGCCATAGTGTCGCACGCACCTGACAAAAAGGTTTCTAATTTCCTCGCCACTCGCCGCCGACTCCGACTGTCACCCTCCGTCAATGCCGCCGCCCGAAGCTCGAACTCCCTGAGTGTGATCTTCTCTTGAGCTGCCACCTCCCAATGGGCGTATCTTTTTAGACAATGGGTCACCCGTGTCGCCAACTCTCCTCGCGCCCTGCAGCTGCCTTCCACCTCTGCTAGCTGCATTTTCGCTTCCGCACGTTGCGCCCTCAAATCCGAGCACTCGGATTGCAAGTTGCGCAACAACTCCTCATCCTCCTTGCGGGCTCTTTGACTTTCTTCTAAGGCGCGCGTTTGGCGCGCAAGCTCGGCTGCTAGGACGTGGTTTTGTCTCCGCTCTTCCTGCAATTCCGACTCGATCTTTGCCCGCATAAGCTCGGCATCCGCCTGACTTTTCGTCGCCGCATCCTCCCTCTGCTGCTGCAAGGCTTGGTATAGCTTCTGTGTGACCGCCAGGTGTTGTCGGAGGGCGGTGTTCCTATCCACATATACTTGGCACCTAGAGGCCCACCTTGCCACCTTGCTCCTCGTCCTTCGCCTGATAGTCTCCACATAAGACTGCGGTTTTCCAGTACCCGCGTACTTGGATGTCTTGCGATCCAGATATCGCAGGAGTGGGACTATCTGCTCGCACAACACCCCTGTTGGCGTTTTCTGCACCGAATCCGCTTCCTGCTCTTCCGAGCTCGTCTCATCCTCAGTCTCGAGGATTTCAGTCGCCACCGAATCCCTTGGCGACTCCCTGGAACTGTGGCGCGCAGCAGCTTCCGCTGCGACTGCTGCTCCACTGCCTGCTAAAATATCCAGGGCAGTGGGAGATCCCACTGCTTGAGCCCCTGTTCCGGCTTGATCTTCGGTCTCCGAAGGGGTCGACGCCGCAGTGACTCTTATCACTTTTGCACCGCCCGCTTCTGCTGCCTCCCCTTCCGGCGCAATCTGCGCGGAAGGTGTTTTCGTTGAGGGTGCGTCCGCCGAAGGCGTCCGCACACTGGTCGCCGGCCCTGTCCGTCTCGCAGTCGGCGAATCCGGCCGACTCTCTGTTGTCCGACTCGCAGTCGGCCGACCAGCAGTTGTTCGACTGGGAGTCGGATACACCCTGCGCGTCTTGACTCCACTTGGCCTGCTTGTTGGTGGCGTTTTCCCAGAAGTGCCTTCCGCCGAGGACGACCCTCTGAGGGTTGTTGGCTCGTCAGCCAAACTCTCTTCTGCTTCCGGCCTGCTGTCCGGTTCAACGCGCCGTTCAGTTGGCCTTCCTTCCGCTTGTCGGCCTTCAGTCGCCCGACTCGTAGTCGGCCGACTGTCAGTCCGTCCATCTCCTCCCGAAGACATTGGTGCCTTCTGTACAGAGGTATTTGTCGTCTTCCCTAGAATCTGTGCGATTATCTCCTCCTGTGTGAGATTCCGCCGGATCGGAGTACGCCCGGTCTCCTCAGTACCAGTTGGCATTTTGCGTGCTCTCTGTTTTGGTCGACTGTGAGGCTCGGAGGTGGGCCGACCACGAGTCGGCGCAGCTGGCACTTCCGGCTGCCTGTCCTCAGGTCTCTCATCCCACTTCCGCTTTCGCGGAATGCGCTCACCTCGACGTTCTTCTGCTGCTCTTGCTGGAGCCGGAGCCGGAGGCGGACTGGCAGGTTCCTCGTCCGGATCCGTGTCTACTTCGGCCTCCCTCGAGTATCTACCTGGATAGCTCCGGGTCAGCTGCGGAAACCGTGTTTTCTCAGAATTTGTCAAACATCCCATCGCCCGATAAAACACGATCAAGTAAGGCGATAGATGATTGAGGGTTCTTCCTTTCTCTTCTTGCGCATGTTGGCGCGTCACCTTCCACAGGAGCCGTGCCCAATGCACTGGAGCTCCTGACAACACTAGCTCCACAAATTCTACGTGCCAACCATGCATGTAAGCGGTCTTGGTCGACTGCAATATCTGCAGCAATGCAGTCGCGACATTTCTCCGCAATCGATCTTTGTAATCCCGTGTCTGGAAACCGTTCTTGGGATGCCTGGCAACTTTGAAGAGCTCATTGTAGGAGATTTCTTCCTCCTGGGACACCTTCACGCTATCGGCCTCGAAGAGGAGATCCCCTTCCTCGCCGGCACACCTGCCTAACACCTGCGCCCAGTTACAAATGTCCCATCTTTCTGGATGTGGACGGAATCCGCGAGAAGGCTTGTGTCTCTCCTGCAGATACTCGCGCACCATCTCCGGACATGTCCAGTTCCACCCCCACAGGAGAAAATCGAGCTTCAGCCCCAGCAGCACATCTTGAAATGCGCGTAGACCGATCTGCGGCACCCTGAGTGGAGACACTCGCAGCTGGGGAACCTTCGACATTGCGTTTCCTGCACACACAAACGTTCTCCCTTTCGCTCGCTCTCTCACAATCGCCACTGCGCGTCGGCCGCTCAAGCACTGACTGCTCACTCTCTCTTCGCTCACGCTCAAGTTCGCTACTCGCAATTCTCTCCAAGGTCTGTCAAGATCCTTGCGCAACTCGTCTCCGCACTCTCTTCTCTCACTGCAGGTCGCTCCGCTCTTGCGCGTAATCTTGGAAACTGGAAATCGCAAAATCAAGAATGAGAGAATGAGACTGGAGCGCAGTCTTTTCTTCTCCGATTTCAAGAACGTCCAACGTTCTTACTGGTTACAACGTACCCAGCCGGCTATACGGCCTAACGGTTCGCCCTTTGCATGCGCGAATTCACGTCTCCGCACTGCGCGCATTCGCATGCGTGAATGTTGAATTCTCCCGCCGCCGCCACCTTCCGGACTCGAGTCCGCCGCAGGGTATACGTCGGCTATGTTGTCTTTTCCCAACCCGTCCATCACCGGAGGCGTGTCGCCGCTGGTGCGTTCCTTATCCGTCGGCGCCTTGCTGGAGGCGCACATCTAGTCGGAGCGAATTACGCCGGCGCGCAGTCGTACCGCTTATTTTGTCCTTTATGCCTCGTCCATTGCTGACGGCGCATATCCGCCAGCGCAAATCATGCCAGCGCATCCGGCCGTCAGCGCCACGTCGGAGGCGTACATCCGACCGGCGCTTTCCTTCCATGAGCAGCCGCCAAAGGCGCTTCCGACTCTGAGTTGGTTTCCTCCTATGAGCGCGTGATTCCGCCGAAGGCGCATCGCCGAGGGCGTACGTGAATACTTTCCGGCTGTGAACCCTAGCGCGAACGGCGCATGTCCGGCTACGAGTTTTCCGACGCTCATAACTTCTCCGTCCCTGGTCCATCTCCGACGCTCTTGAGCTCGTTAGAACGAGCGTCCCGAGCTCTTTCTAATGCAACTTCAACCAACTGGATCTACCGTGTATTCCGATCGTCATGAAGGTTTTCCCTTTCCGCGCCAGCGGCGCATCGCCGAAGGCGCACTCATGGTCGGACGCCTTCAGAGGTCCGGGCCCTTCTCCCGACGTCTTTAGCAAAACCTCCTCCTGAGGTGTCTGCGCCGGAAGCGTAGCTTCCTTATACGCTGGAAGCGCGTGAGTAGAGACACCTCAGAAAAGGAGCTTTTGCCGAAGGCGCCGAAGACATTGGCGTTGGTACATCCGACTACGTGATTCTTCGTGACCTTGTGACGATCTCATCAATCCACTCTATTTAACGTACCCTTTTCTAACTACAAACACTGCTTCGGTACTAGTTTTCTAAAATTGTTTAAATTCTGCAAAAAAAACAAAAAGTGTGTTACCACAGCACCTCTGACGACACGCGAACAATTGCACAGTGCTGAATTGGCGCTAAAGGCGAAAGAGTTGGAGGATTGCGAAGCTGCCAAGTCTTTGAGGTTAGCGCGTAGGGAGAAATTGGACGCAGAGAGTAGAGAATTGCGATCTCAACTATTGCCAGTTGAGGAGTAGTTGGTCGCACCAAAGCTTAATTTCTGGAGACGGAGTCGGAAATCCAGCAATTTAAGGTGTAGACAGGTGGTGCGTTGTGCGCGTTTGTGAAATGTGTGTTTAGTCAATGTGTGCAAATTGCTCAATTTCTCGAAGTAGGGAGTTCAATTCAGAAGTTCTGAGTGGTGCATCGTGTAGCTCAGGATTTAAACAAATCTGTACATTGGAAGTTCGGTGCGGTCGGCTGAATGTGTAATTTTGGGAAATTTGCCCCTTGAATATCAATTGCAGAGTCTCGTGCGAATTCTGTGAGAATTTATTGGATCGATTTCAGGATTTGAATGTGATTTCTCTTTGCAATGTGTCGCCTTCGGCAGTAGCAATTGCAGTATCTTCTGGGAGTTACATGTGCATAATAAGTAAAACTTCTCAATAGAATGTTAATTTGTGACACTACTTGGTTCTCTGGTGTTGTTTCTGTACTCGTGGAATTGGATCTTTACCATTATGCTTCATTTTGATAGTTGTATATTATTACAGTGACGTTCAAGATCCTCGCGCGACAAGAAGTTGCTGAAAGTTTCTTGCATGGTCTATCCTGAGACACAATTGTTGAGGACGTAAAATGTAAGTCCACTTCCGAAGGAGATTGAATTGATCCTTGCGACAATGCTCGATGAACCTCATCGTTTGCTAAGTCAGCGCGAAGTTCGGTTAGCGCGGCAATCGAGTGTCATGGTGACATCCGACATTATTCTTGGAATGCCGGATGCCGTGAGCAAGGATAAACGAACGTTCAAGGCAAATCAGCTGTATGTGAGCTCCAAATTCATTTCAGGCGAAGACAAGATATCAAACTCTAAGAAGCTGAAAGTCAAAGTCGGGATTGATTTGAAATGAGTTGATCAAGTGAAAGTCAAGGCGTGCTCTATGAAAAAAAAAGATAAATGTTGAAAGACACCGACGGACGGCCAACATTATGAAATTATGCGCCGATTTAGCACGATAGCTTTATAATCACAAGCATACATGGATTTTCAACGAGCCGGTGGATGCCGTGAAACTCGGACTCCACAATTACCATCAGGTTATGAAGAGACCTATGAATCTTGTAGTTACAAGATTATCAAGAAGAAAGTGAATCGGGAAGAGTACACTTCTCCTTTGGATTTTGCTCAAGACGTTCGTTTCATCTTTTCTAACGCCATGACTTACAATCCACAAGGACATTTTGTTTTTGCAATGGCCGAGCAGCTGAGAGACATATTTGAAGAGAAGTGGAAGGTTGTATCGAAGAAGATTGAGGAGAATGAGCACAAGTCAAGAGTGCGATCTTGCCAAGATCTCTTGACGCTGAAGCCGCATGTTGAAGAACCTGTGCATTTGGAGGAACTAAAAGACAAGAAGTTTTATGAGAAGGTGGTTGACGTTCAAGCAGTGGCAAAGATGCGTATTACCAAACGACGGTTGACTGCTTTGTTGGCCGGAAGAAGCACAAGGGGCGAACGTCAAAAAACTATGAAAGACTTGACAAGTATTTTATCGAATCTGCCGAGAAATCTACATAGGAACGGCGGAGCAAGAGTTTTGGGAGAGACCGATTAAGTTGAAACAAGTAGTTTGTATACATGGTCATGGCAGCGATCTTAGGATTGCTGACGTGTCACAAATCCTAGCTCTGTTCTATTTAAGCTAACATCCTCTCATACAATTCCTCAATGTATCACATACACATCAACACTCCAAGATATTGAAAATTGTCACTCTTTCATATATGAAACAAGTCTGTACATATGAACTCTCCAAACTTGCTTCAAAGTCTTTCCCCTACCTCTCTATATATACAACTTGAGAATTTTTCATAGAAGCAAATGTTATTTTTTTATCTAACTTACTTTTACAAAGATAAATCATAGTAAAATTACCAGTTACCAATATGTGGCAATGATAATTTCATTGGTTAAACTAACTCTAATGTTGGCTTAGTGGCAAGTTGATGTTCTAAAAGTTGAAAAGTCACAAATGGCATGTCGTCATTTTAATCTAGGGATTAGTTACATCTAGAAGGTTTAGGAGGCCAATGGCATGTTGTCACGTATTGATAACTAGTCAAATTTACTATGATTTATCTTCATAAAAGTAAGTTAGGTAAGAATTAACATTTGTTACTATGGTAAATTCTTAAGTATTATATATAGAGATGTAGGAATGAGACTCCCAAGCAAGTTTGGACAGTTCATGTGTAAAAATTTGTTTCATTTATGAATATATATATGTTTCAGTATCTTGGAATGTCGATGTGTGTGTGAATTGGATTGATATATTAATGAATTGTGTGAGAGGGTGTTTAGGCTATGAGTAGGAGGAGGAATCCTAGTTTTCTAGAACCATGATGAGCTACCGCAAAGTCATTTGAGGTAAACTTGAGTGAGAGTAAGTCTGGAGGTTACAGTTACCTCTATGTTAGCAGGGTTTTTAATTATATTTTTATGTTATAACTTTGTCATATTATGGCTATGGTTTAGGTCTAGTTAACTTCCGTGTAATGAGTAACCTTGTGTTAGGGTTCTCTCTAGAACTTCCCGCTGAGTCATAATATAGATATAGAGTTTATTGTTTAGTTAACATAAGTTAAGAGGAAGATTGTTGAGTTTAACTCTGGTTAAGGAGTAACCTAATGTTTATCAATTTATAATTGAGATTGGTCACAGGTGTTGGATACATATAAACCCAATATCTTTGTATTACTAGACGAAAAGTTCAGTACATTATCACGATGCTCTTCTCACGTGGACGTAGACCTTGAGAATGAACCATGTTATACGCTAGTGTCTCTTGTGTTTGTGGTTTGTGTGGTTTGAATGTGTCACTTATGTATTTTACATGTACAAATGATACAAATTATGTTCACAAAATCCCAATATCTATACTTGAAGAAGATTTGTCATGATCTCATACTATTGGGCTTAGAGCATAAGTATAAAAATCTTCTATTAGAAAATTCACCCAAAACTCTCAAATGATCTTGAATTACAAGATTTTCAAAGATTACTATCTTAGATTGCAAGTTATGAAGACATTATTCACTTTATCGTTTTTTACAAACTCAAATAGTAGATTTTATCCATTTTACTTTCACAAAATGTTTGAAATGAGTTTTAACATATTCATAGCAAAAATATCAGGGTCTTATTTCATATCAAATTTGATATGAATTTTTTTTTCATATCTTAGACAAAAATTTGTATTTAAGTAAAAATATTGATTTCGTAGGATTGATTATAATTTGTAAACTTGCATAAAAAACATTATTTATAATCAAAATGACGCAATCACAATCTTGCATCTGGTTTGATAGCTTCAATGTTTCTTTAAAAAACCTTCATTTTAATTTATGAGATGTATTTTATGATTTCAAATGTATGTTTGATCAATTTTCATGCAAATGAAATCATTTAAAAAAAGAGATGATTAAAACTCAATTGACACATTTTTGAGATATGTTGCATGGCTTTTATAATTATTTTTAATCATATTATTTTTGAAAAGATGAAAAGATTGAAAAATAAAATTATATGAATAATATCACAAAAAAGCTCAAAGCTAATTTTCTAGAATTAAAAAGAATTTCTTTTTCAAAAAAATTGCGTAAAAAAATTCATGATTACATTTATTAATTCAACATTAAAAACTTAATATTATTATCTTGAAATGTGAATCTTTTCTAAATCAAATACTAATTATTTTAAATGATTTTTTAAGTTTTAAATCCAAATTTTTTAATCAGATTATAGCAATTTTCTTATATACTATAAAGCTTATAAATAACTAGTCATGTAAATAAGCAACATGACCATTCAAGTCATGAACATATGTATACACATGGATTAATTTAAAACATATAACACTGCATTCAAATTAAAAACCCACGTAGTAGCATAAATTGTTGAAGAAACGTTCAATTGAATTTTGAAGCTTTTCATTGAATTTAAAATGATGTTATATTATTTACATGCTTAAAAGTTATTCATAATGAGCAAGCCTTTATCTATACAAATAATATATTTAATATCTTAATGCAAAATTTTGTGTTGTACTGTTCATCAGTCCAACACGTGACGAAAAATGAATCTCATCGTGAGTGATTTGATATAAATTGTGTATTAATATCAGTGTCAGATATTTTAATAATAGAATACAACTATAAATAAAAGCAAATTTTTTGCTTTGGATGTTTATGCAGTCATAACATCAAGACTTTATACTTATGATACAAAAGTTTTGGTTATTTGAAATAATGTCGTAAATGTAAATCATGCATTCAAAATGGAATATTTTGTACATATATATCCAAATTTTCTTGGTAGCAGTATACATTGAACTTAAAATGTAATCCATTGATTTTGATCACTATCAGTGCTGATTGACTCGATGTTGCATATGCAAGTTTTCATGAAGGTTGAAATTTAATAACAATTATTTTAATAACACATGAGTCTATGACCTATGACAAAGAATAGTTAATTGGCCTTAATGATTCATGCGAGATTCTAGAATGTGAAGATTAATATTCTTAATTTGTACAAGCTTCTATTTTACTTTCAATGACTTTGTTTTATAATTTGTTTTATTTTAAACAAAGTCACTGAAAGTATCAGGGCTTGGCCTCAATGCATTTCTTGACATCTACAACTTTTGTTCATATGAAAAGAAAAAGAAACTAAGGATTAGAGTTCAACTATCAATTAGTGGTGTACTTGGGTAATGAGTTATGCCGTAGGCTTACTACACATGTAGATATTAATGGGTTATAGTACACCTCAAAACAGTTCTTTTTTATTGAAATACAATACTGGGTTTGGATACACCAAGTAAATACTGATTGGTTTCAGGAGTCTTGAGGAGCTTATGAGTGCGCGGGAATGATGCCATATTCACGTGACCCCACACAAGCTTATCCTCTTCAACTTGAACTCCTAGATTTCGCATCCAGGAGCAAAAGATTGCCCTTAGTTTGCATCATTACATATGGTCATCACATCAATGGACATAGATTCACAGCGCAGTTTGTAGCAGTTTGTACCTGGATACTGGATGCCTCTGAATCAATGGAGAGAGATTTTGAGTGAGGTTGGGCTTGGTACACTACTCTTCACAGCCTAACTCAGCGTCCATTGTACAAGACGATCAGAATCGTTTCAATTAGATTGGACAAACTGGAAAAGTGTTCAATTCACAGTTAACTCCTCCGCGGTTGATCGGCGGCTTACGCATGACTTTCTGTATTCGAAGACTTTCAGGAATTCTACCAATCAGTCCATCCTAAAACTGTGTTGAGAACTGTTGTACAAGAGCGTTGTTACTAGTTACATCCCTGTAGCAATGTAGGTATATATGGGGCCTGACTTTTCTCCTTATACCGAGACATTTTCGTAAGATCCACTTTGATCTCTTATATACGTGTCCTCTGTTATTTTCATTCCCGGCTGAAGATATGTAAGAATTGAATACAATTTGGGGTCCTTGGTAGCCCTCACTAAGGCAGAATCCGTCAAGAGATGAATTCTTCGCGACTATATCCACAAATAATTTAATGTATCCGGTGGAGGTCAGACTTACTTACCGTAAGCCCACATTTGATTCTGGGAAGTGACATACCTTAGTCCTGCAAGTCAGCAACCACATACTTCATACAAAGTCGCGGTCAAACACGATTGTCTTTTTATTCAAAAGCTTTTCAACCCGCCTGAATATGATACTATCACAATTCCAAGCCACACGCGACATCTGACGACTGACGCTCTGCCTGTACCACAAGCAATAATTGAAGATTTAACGGGCTATTCAAACTTCAACGGACTTAACAATTGGCAACTAAACCACGACTGCTCCTTAGAGTTCTACAGCACTAAGTCCTAAACTTCTCCCTGCCTTAAGTCATTGACAGATTTCCGTAGTCATGGCTTGGAAACATGTCCGATATCGCAGAATATGACAGAGGAAGCCATGGTACAGAATTCTGCGTTAAACTAGTAACACCCCTCAACATTTCATTTATGAATTTTCATAACCCACGCAAACCGCCAACACAGTCTTACCGCTAAGAACTGAGCTGAAAACTTCTTTACAATGGCTATTGCTAATCTTCCAGATTCTTGGAGGAGGATACTTTCTTACTTCGATCATCATGTCTGCACGTAAGCCTTGGGTTTAGGCTTGACTTCTGCCTCATTAACACTTCGGACAAATATTGCATCGGGTTCGTGTCTGAAAAGAGAACAAGTTTAGAAAGTGTTAGTCAACAGGAAAGAACTGACACAGATAACATCATTGAACTTATGACAAGCAAGAAACAGGACATAGTCAAGAATATTACGGCTTTTCGCCCTCTTCGAACGTGTAGCTCGAGGCTACAGCTAGCAGCCTTCCATCTCTGCTAAAAGAAAGAGCAGCGATACTTGTAGGATATCTCGAATACTGCACAAAAGCTCAACAGAAAAATCGGACACTTGTTAGGCTGTGATCAACTTCAGAACTATGTGACCGTGTACGTGAAGGCAAATAAATGGAAAAAATTAGCACCAAACCGAAAGCAAATGCCAAATAATAAACCACCTGCTGATCTTCACTCTGAAAAGATAAAACTTGATATTCTTTCCGATTGCACGCCATGGTCTGGTGAAGTTACCTGATAAAGTCGCTTTTTGTTGTTACCATCCCATACATTGACATAGCCATCACATCCACCGGTTGCAAACGTTCCATAACTGGAAAGTCCAAAAAGAGAGATAACCCACTGAGTAACATATAGAACTTTTGAATACAGTCCATTAAATGTTACAACTAGGGACTTGCTCAATCGTGGAACATGTGTAATGATCGATTGTTGTAAGTGTGCTCAGTGTGCTCTTGTTGCTCACATGTAAAATAATCGTAATTTAGAATACACATGTGTGCAACAAGAGCAGTAGAAGTTTGGCGGATGACTCTATAATGATAAATACTCAGCAACTGGTTTAAGCTAAGACGAGATTGCAGAGATAAGTCTTACACTGGATGAAATGCGATGGCGTTGACGGGATACACGGTGTCTCGTCCAGCCTCTGATTTACGATGACATTTAAAGGCATACCTAATATTCACAATATAAAAGTCCCCGGAAATATCAGGAGTTGGAATCGAAGTCAATTGTTATCAAACCGTATTGAGGGTTTCCAAGGAAACGTATATACCACCTATCATCAACATTCTTCTATCTAAGTTTGCAATCTTGATCATGAAGAAGCAAAACAAACTATCGAGCTCCACAATCGTCTTACTTTTTGGCTTGACCAGCTTCTGATAGATCAAAAAATTCCATTGCTACACGACCTTCCACAGAACTGAGGGCATAACCTGCCAATTGCGAAAAAATTGATCTGTAAGTGCGAACAACATAGAAATGAAAGAATGTAAATTGGCTACTGCAGTCAACAGTTAGGAATCCACACTTCGATTGAGGGGTGGGAGTTTTCAAACAATAGCACTTCAAAGGCAACAAACGATTCAAACTATGGCGAGTGAACATGCTAAACCTACTGGATATCAGAGCTTCTACTATATAACAGAACACTTTTGCATTCACAAGTTCCTGAAAACCTTGTTGAAATCTGGACGTCTACATTCCAGTACGATACAGCGAAGACTCACTATGCAGGACCAGAATCTGATGCTATATATAATGTAATGTCCATAACATACGCTTCCTTCTTACTCGTGTTCTCCTCTCAATAGGTCATCCAGGATAAGAGATTCAATGTCTAAATCCAACAAAATGCAATACTACGGCATCTTCTGAAAGCGTTTTAAAATTAAGCTTGTTCCTGACAATCTTCCTTAGGAGAGTGGGACTAGTTTAACAGACTATATTAGAAATCAGGCACATGAAAGTAGACTCCGGAGCTGCGCGACTAAGTTTGATAGGGTAACTTAAGAACCGTCACTTCATGAGGTGAAGTCACGAAAACATGGAAGCCAAGAGTAAGTAGACAATTTCAAAGGAGATGTCAGGCACCTGTTCCATTGGGATAGCAGCGGACGCATCTGGTCTGATACTTCAGGGATGACTCACGGCGTTGTTCAGCTTGAGACATGTTTCGCAAATCATAAACGTTGATGTGTCGCCCAGCTGTAGCAACTACCAAGTGGTGTCCGACAAGGGACATAGAATATACACGTTCTGGCTGTGGATAAGTTTCCTGTCCACTAGCAGCCCGTGCGTCCCAACATCTCAAAGTCTTATCCCAGCTTCCAGAAATAACTTGCCCTGCAGCGTTTATCAGATTCTTCGTACTAAGAACGAGCCTCATTGTGAAATTAAGATTAAAATGTATCCTCTGGTTTCAATAACGAATCATCTTTAGAAGTTAGCTGTGAATTACACCTTGTGGTTTAATATAGTTTCTTGTTGAAAGGGACTCGATATTCCGACGAGAATGATGGAACTTACCGGTTGTGTGAGAATACTCTACACATTTAACCGGAGCATCGTGTGTTCCTAGGATATCTTCTCTTCCCGTGTTGAAGTCATACCTGTGAGATAAGAGTTTTCGTTAAATGAGCAGCGAATCATTTTCTCAATTCTGAAGGATGATTTCAAAGTTATGAAATATGTACACTAAGAGAGAAAAGGAGAAACAGGCACCAGACAGAGTCACCGGCAGTTTCAGTTCAAAGCAACTTATCAGACACAGATGATGTCAACAAAAGAGCAAAACTTCATGCATTATCTTTTAGTGTCGAGGTCGTAAACGTGAAAAACGTAGAGTAGGTTTCAAATAAACTGGGCGACAGCATCGCTCTTATACTCAATAAAGGACCAATGAAGAACCAATCAAAAATTGGACGTAAACAAAAAATAAAGATGGAGAAGAAGATGAACACTAAGAGAAGGGGCATCAGTCCGAAACGACATCAAGACCAGTTAACATAAATGAGCCCAAAGCAGAGACAAATGAAGGTACTGAAAATAAAAGACCTAACGGATGGAACTCGTGAGAGATGGACTAAGTAGACAGTTTAGAAATATTACTACATTACTTGTACAAACACCAACTTTGAAGATTCACTTCAATTTTCACCTGCCGTTCTGATCCGGAAAACAGAGGCTAGAAAAATTTACACTGCCCTGCTTAATCTGATACTGTAATAAACTGTCCAAGAAACTGTAGACAGCTTCTGAATTCAAATTTTGTCACTTTCAAAAGTCATTTCTTCCACAAACATGCCTAAAAGTGTACATTGTATCCAATTATGCAAGTTGGCCCCTAACCTTTAGTTCTGCTGGGGAAATTTTCATGATGTAGTGAAAGCCAGGAGTTCATTCATTTCTTCGCAAGCGACATTCGTTAAGCCGCAACAGGAAGAGTCCCCACGGATACTAAAGTAGGAGCAGCTCACTGATCAACTCAACAAACATGGACGATGTGCCAGTAGAGGAGCAAAATACAGCTTAACCGTTACTTTTGTGAGAATCATTGAGTTGATGGAAAAAGAGAGACTTGGTACATTGGTCAGAACGTCAGGATTGAATATACATTCGAGGCTGGGATTGCTGGATGTACCATATTTCCTCGAAGAACATCCTCTAGAGACAGAACTCACCTTCTAACAGTCCTGTCTGCACCCGCGCTGAAGCCTGAGGCATCATCATGAAAGCAGCAATCCAACACAGGACCTCTATGTGCAAACTGCCCCTTCAACACGTTGGAACTAGCATCATAGAGCCTCACCTTCTGCAAAACATAAAACCTGTTCTGGATTGGTCAAAGTACCCGATCTTACTCAAGGTCGAAAGACTACAACAAGCAATACAATGCCGCATATCGCATTGCCTCTACCGTCGGCCGCACTAAGCACTCTAAGCGTACATTCTCCAGCTCCAGACCGAGGGTTAGGACGCACATTATCCCAAGACGAAACCAGAAGGTGATCGCTGTGATTGGAGAACCGCAGATTGGATATGCCATCCGCGGGAGGCGAACTCAGCTCGCGGCCCGATCCACCAGTACCTCCGATCATATTAACCGGCTGTCACAATCCAAATGCCGGGCCTGTCGGACAGCGAGGCGCAGAAATGATGGCAGGCCAAAGGAACAAGAAACGAAATGAGCGATACAAGTGAGGCTCCAGAAGAGCGAGCAGGCAGGCGAGCGAGCGAGCGAGCAAGGGACGCTACGGTATCCCGTCGTCGGCTCTGCTGCCAGGCTCCTGCTCCTGCAGCTTTTCCTCCTGCGTGGCGAATTTTCCTCCTTTTTAAAAAAAGCCCTCCGCGATGCGAGGTGACTTCGCAGGTGCTCACGCTCACGGCTTCAAAGGTTTATTGATTTGGCTGGCCATTCATGCGTGGATCGTGCAGGCATCCCCACCTCCTCCTGCCACCCCGATGCAGATCAGGTGCGCGGGACTGTGTTCTTGCCTTTAATAGCCCGAATGTACTCGCGCAGATCTGTAAATTAATGCCCGCGACGGGAACCGGCACTGGGCCGCAGAGGCCAGCGGCAGTGGCCTGCAGCTGCAGCACAGCACAGCGCGCAAAGTCTGCGCCTCCTCCCTCCTCCACCGCTCCCACAATTGCATGAACATGAGCAGCGGATCCCTCTCGGCCTGCCCTCCCCTGCCCTCCCCCTCCCCTCCCCTGGCTCGCCACGGCCCTTCTCGATCGATCGATCAAGAGCATCGCAGTGCCGGATTCAAACCTTTTCAAATTCTCTCTTGCCTCCGCCCTTCCCTCGCACCGGCCAGTCCGCCTTGGACTACTCGGCTTTCCTTGCCTTTCCTTTCCCTTCCTTTGCTTTGCTCTGCTTTGCTTTGCTTTCCTTTCCTTTCCTTTCCTTTCCTTTCCTTTCCTTCCGCCGCGGGCCAGCGCCACGTCGCTCCTTCGCTTTCTCCCCCAACGTTAGTATTGCTCGTGGACGGGCTCCTAATTATACTAATTATTCACTATTACGCTTACTTCGCTCTGATGATCATGCGTCTTCCGTTACATCATCCCCACTTGGAGTGTGTCGTGTATCTCTGAGTATTTCATGTATAGGCGTTAGTATAAGCAAAGTAGACGTCTCTTGCATCATGTTTGGTTGATTTATTGCTCTTTATCATTAGTTGTTATCTTCCCTATAGCTCAACTTTCAAAGATACTTGAAAGTGGATGCATGATCATTCTTTTTGATATACACTTCAATAATAGCTCATATAGAAGAGATGCTGTAACTTCATGGTGCGATATTCTTTTATATATTTTTCCTCTTTGTTCACCCATGACATGAAACTCAACCTCGATCCACCAACAATCGTCATAAACTCTCACATTCATTATCAGTGATTTCTGCCATTGTGAAACTGATGTTATTTTACGATCTAGCTCTGACAAGACTGCATGCTGTTGGATCTTTTCTCAATCATACATTGAGGTTTGCTGATTTGCATAAAGAATTTCCTTATCGGCTTGGTTCATTACTCATATGACTTGCAATGCATTTGGAGAACTCAGTCAACTTACACGTCAAACCATTAAGCATTTGATGTATGTTATGGTGTAAGAAGATGGATATCTCATGAAGACGTGGTGATCCCTGATAATTCGCATGATGCAGTTTCAAAAAACTGACTGGCTCATCTTCATGGATGATGTACTAGTGTATACACATCAGCCAAGTTATCCAACATCGTAGTGTGCAAAGAGCCACATCTTTTCTACTCTGGGTCAAACTACACATACGTATAGACTTTTAAATGTGTGAGGATGCAAAACGTATGAGATGGCTCTTTAGCTTATATGTTGGAGAATGCGTGCATATTAATGAAATTATCTTCTAAAAAGAAAGGAGATGAGCAAATTCCATAAGTTAAAAATCACGTTCAAAGATAATGCTTCCTATGCTATAAGTAGTTGTATAATGTTGACGAGAAAGGTGACGATATACCTGAGCCATGGCACTGCTACTTGACAGACGAGTCCATATGAGGTTTCATCCTTGTAGTGCTTGATGAGGTCGTCCCATCCTGTTGGTAACTTTACTGTAATGTTTTGCTTCCACCGAAGCCCACCGCTCTCTCTTTATTGTAGCTCAGAGCGCACAGTTACAGCACAGAGCTCCGTTTCCTGTCACCGCCTTCATTCTTTCCGACTCGCAATGCGCTCACTCTGTGTCTGTCATTCTGGCCATGGTGGTGGGCCTGCTGGATGGCACATCGGCAACTAACTCAGAGTCAAACTTCTGTGGCTAACGGTGAAACATCTCCGAACATTTGGATCTTCTCTTTTCAATTTTGCCCGTTGTGCATAGCTTCTGCCATTCCTTGAGGAGCTGCGTGTGTGGCCCGCATTAATCTGCTATTTGTTCAGAACTGATTGCCGGGATTCGAGATCGATTCACTGAAATCCGGAGACATGTCGTAAATCGTCGTGCCTGGTCCACGTGACACACAAATTCCACCTTCACCATTTCAACGTTGGTTTCGTTCTCGCGTTTGACCTGCGCTCATAGCCTTAAGGTCTTAAATCCAGTGCTTTCGCTTGAAGAAGCTAAAGAAATCCAAAGACCACACTTGCTCACTTCATAATGAACAAGACATATCCGACTCTTCTTCAGCTGGCACTGCAGTAGTTCTGGCCCTACAGATTCTTACAAGGTTATTCTATCCTTCCAGTTCTTGGCCCCAAATCGTGCGCCCATGGGATCTTCAGAATATTCTAAAGAATGTCAAAGATTTTGCTCTGAATAGAACTTGCTGTGTCATGAGCTGGTAAGTAAATGTGGTACGTTTGATAGTAGAGGTATTCACCCAAGTGCTTGTCCTTCCGGGACATGCGAGACTACAGCACATTACCCCCTTTGAGATAACCACAGTCGGTTCTGTCAATCAAGGGGGGAAAAAACCCTCCGAAACGCTTTCCGGAAGAAAACATGATTTTAATGTGGCATCGTAGCTACGCTACTCCCTCTGCAGTTCTTTACTGAAGCCGCAGAGATTCACATGGTTGACAGTTGACTGCCTTTATCGCCACAATCTTAAAGACGTTTCGTTGTCATTCTCCTCTGAAACTGCTGGTGTCTTATCTACAACTTCAGATTTTCGTAAGAACCGCATCATGGCAGGTTAGCGGAAAGCTCTCTGTCTGCCGATCGCCCTCATCACATGACCTTATGATATGTGCGAGTACGAACATCACAAGTTTGTACTCGCACATATCTGGCACACTACGGTCGCGCATAGTAAACATCGAATCATCATCAACTTTCATAGTCATACGTATGAACGTTTCTTAATTTTGTACGAGATGTGGTTCAGTCGGGGTATTGTTTGGTACTCGTGGCACCGGGTTGATGACAGCCATGTCGGATGATGTGGCACGTTACACAGGGGACCATGGGCTATGTCGCTTCTCGAAGCTGCTGTCTTAGTTACAAGATGAAGGTCGCTGTCATCAGAACGTCACAATGGGCCATCGCCTTCACTCACTGGTTGGTTCAACCTTAACTTCCACAGGGCAAAACTGTGATTTATGGTAAGTCGGAAAAAGTCGCTACGCTTCCTGTTCCAAACCTTTCAAGGCCTTTGATACAATACACCTCATCAACGCCAAGATTGCCCGAAAATCTTCGTACAATATGTTCAACTAGCGACCTTTCCAGGAAGTTTCTTGATTAAATGCTTGCGGAAAACCAAATACACAGAATCGGCGGACAAAAGAAGTAGTGAATGATACACATGGGACTGCTTCAAAATAACATGAGTTTACAACCTCTTTACAACACAATTACAACACAACACCTCTTCAGTCAGATCTCAGTTGAGATGTAATCGTGCAGCTGTACTGACTTTTTCAATCTAGCGGGCGGACTGACTGTATGCATTCTACATATTATGAAAAAATCTCTGCCTTGTACTTATCTATGGCTAACTGTGTTATAGCTCCGCAATCTGGCTCGTTGATTTGCATGCAATCCGTCACTTCGGCCGTCAGAGAACCATACTTAGCGAAACAACAAAAGTTTTACTGCTACAAATGTACCAGTACACCGGGATACTTGTCTCAGTCGCATAGAAGTCTGCATGGTCAGCATTCGTACACCCTCCGCTTCCAACACATCCTCGTAGCTTCCACATCCACAATGTAAATCAGGCTTCTCCCAATCAAGACCCACATTCGACACTCAACTGGTCGCTCTCGTCCCCAGACCATGCACAGTTCTTATGGTCAAGGTCCCGGAATGAAATACTACGCCTTTTGAGGTAGCCAAGTTCTAAGGTGTTAAAGACTTCGAAATAAGGATGAGGTCGTCTTGTGGCAGGCATGTTCAAGCTTTAGGCAGTATCCTGCACCAGCGATGGATCCACTGGAATCACCGAATTATAGTGCTCCCCAAGCCCAAACGCGTGTCGATGGTAAGAAACTCTTACGCTCGGATTCAGTAAAGGTGCACCCTCTGGGGCGTCCTCTTTATACTCCTTACCCATTTCAACATCAGGTAATGTTGCTGAATAAACGACAATATGTTTCTTCATGGCGTGAGACAAAGCCCCCAACTCCAATTGCCCTCCCCAAGCTGCTGTGGATTCAACCTCACCACAGTATCTCTCAAACTTCGTCTGCAAAGTCTCATCAGGGTTGTCACCTTCTGTTGTTTCCGCTCCTATGAAAGGCATAAAATCATCTGCATGAGTCCTCATGTAGTTCGCGGCTAGTATCCTGAGTTCTTGATAAGAGTACTGGACGAGTTCAGGGTGCAGTCCTATTTGATCCTCAACTGCCCTGTAAAGGCAATGCCCATCAGATTTTATTTCCTTCAGGGTGTAGCCCAGAGGTGCAAGCTTTCCCTCCAGCTGCTGGTCTTCCAAAACTCGCTCGCTAACGACATTGTTTTGTTCTTCCTGGATGATGAAACAGAAGGGTACAGATTTGATGAGCAGCTCAGACAGTGACAACAATTCAAACCAACGGTTTCTATGGTTTCGCAGAATTACACATGGAACAACCCACACAGATAACGAGCGAAACCTCAGGGACCACTTACTTGAATCCGCTGCTCTCGCTCAGCCTCTTGCTGAGCTCTCCTGTCTCTCCATTTCTGTCCCTTGGAAGGTCTGACCTGGTTATTAGTACCGTTCAGTGAGACACCAGCTATGGCCTTCACTTTCACCTCTATACTATTGATCTCCTTGTCGTCCACTGGTATTCCCAAGGAAGCAAGTTCCTTGACGTGTCTAGCTTTCAGTTTGGTGTCAAGCCTCGCAACTTCCTCCTCTGCGAGCTTTTTCTTCGCCTTCTGCTCAGCCTTGCTTCCCTTTGCCGCAGCCTTCTTCAAACCAATTTCCTTGTTCTGTAGTTCCTTGATTTCTTTTCTGCAAACAAATAATTGAGTGACTTGAGAAACTTATTGCTACAATTCCCACGATGCTGTGAATTTGAACGGCTTCACCAAAAACGTCGTAGTAAGGACTCTGGGAGACAATATCTCTCATCCATCAGAGAAATGGTAAAGAGATGGAGCTCAAGGCTTGAGAAAGGAGATAAAAACTATGAAGGACAATTACTGAGTCGCTAAGAACACGAATCCGTGCTTCTCAAATGACTTTCAAAGCCTTTTGGTCCACTTCAAATAGCTATCGTCTACGCGAAAGAGGGCAAAAAGGTGTCGGCTATGAGATGTGGACTTAATCATAGCTCACACGGCCTGACAGTTCAAAACGGACGACGCAGTCATCCCCTTGAGACAAATCCAGATTCCGCGGATCAAAGAGCATGCAAATTGCATTTGCCCAAGATTAGTTTCGGTTCGAGAGACCTGTTTTCAACAACGTAATGAGAAAACATAAGGACACGGCTAATGAAATGATGCGACCTGGCGAGAACAAAAGGATCAATACGACCGCTACAAGAACTGGAGTTTAGATCAGAAGCAAAAAAAGTATATTTGACTATTGAGGGTGTTAGCGGAAACTAAAACATGGACACATATGAGGTTACGCAGCCTACAAGTAACAACGGGGAATCTGAAAACGATGTACTGTGGCACAAAATGCTTAGCTATAGTTAAACTCCGCTGACTTCGTTTGTCACCACACTTCTGTCGAGTCGGTCGAAAAATAAACCTAGAACCTTATCGGAAGCACAAAACGCTTCTCTCGAAAGCATGAGAGATAAGCCGATATACAGTAACGTTCGGAGGATACTCGCTCCCAGAGAGTCGTGAATCCTGAGAGCTGCACCCTCGCGAAATTCGCCCTCGGAAGTGAGGGCCAGAATTTGAAGTGGCGGATAAGGAAAAAAATTGGCCTGAATTCACAGGAAGACTCGACGAGGCTCACTAGAAATAAACCTGAGAAAGTCTAACATAAGACATCCACGTCACCACTTCGACTCCTGGACAGAAGTTGGGGAAAAGGCAACAAACATTATTCGTGAAAGGGTGTGCTTCGATAACAGATTGGAAATCGAAGTTCCACCCGGAGTTCAACGAGGGCCACGCTTCAACGCTATGGCGACAAGGCGACGAAATAGTTTCCCAAGGTCCACTATTTTTCAGGAAACATGTCGACCACAACAGGAACAAGACGACTGGATGGCGACAATCAAGGGAGTGACAAGATCCATAAATGAGGAGAACTCCCGGACATAAAACGATCCACAGCAGCCAAACTGAGCGGTGTGACCTAGTGCGTGAAAAAAAAAAACTGATACGACGTTGTGTGATGTTGAAAAGGGTAGGACAAGACGACGCGACCACCTTGATCAAAGTTTGCGAAGGCCCAATTTGAATAATGAACACGATACAGGTCACTGCAGAACCTAACTGAACGAGCAAAAACATGGAAGCACAAGCATTGTGAAGGATTGGGTAGCGAGTCCGCACTACGTAGATTTTACTGAAACCAACAGATCCAATCCCCCGAGACATGGGCGTATACCCTCACAGCAAAAATAAGAAAGACCCGTCTATGTCCGACACGATTGCATGAAGCTGGTGCCGATTCGAACAAACTAAGCTTCGCAACCAGACGGCACTCTAAAAGAAGAAACTACTCGACAAGATAGAAGAAAAATCCGTACTGATGACGGGCGAGCATTTCAGAGCGAGTCTCCTTGACGCAACTCCCATCTCCAATTGCAGCACCAACAGCATCAGCACCAGCCCTTGATGCGGGAAATTCCGTCTCTGTGTCCTCCATCTTCACTTCATGCCCCCAGTATTCAAACCACCTCCTTTCTCTCTGTCCTCTACGCTCGCTTAGTTTATCAGCAGCAGAAAATTCGGCGCTCTCCCAAACCAATTTCTTTCTCACTGCTCGATGAGTGAGGCTTGTCCTTGGTCTGCTTCAAAACCGTCGGTACAGCCAATGGCTACTGGCCCACGCCACCTGGCTTCTTGCAGTCGTCATCGGCCCCGTGGCCCCCGTCTGCCTCTGTCGGCTTGGGTAGACATATTCAACCATCGACAGCGACGTCGTAGAGTTTTTGTTTAGGGTTCTCTTCAGCATCCATGATCAATATAAAACTCCTATGGAGCGCGTGATTGGGAGAGTGCGAATCTATGGGCCAAAGTGCGTACGGTTGGGTGCCACAGTGCACTCTCCACGTAGTCACTATATAATGACGCGAATTCAGTTTACACACTCCGTCTTGTACGAAGTTGAGTATAAAGGGAACATCACCCCTTCGGTCGATTTACGTCGATATTTGAAGCCTTCAAACGTGTCGAATTATGTCAACACGTTTGAAGGCTTCAAATATCGGATCGACCGAGGATTGTGCATTGTCGACGTATGATGGTGAGATGTTCAGGACAGTAGTCTCATCATCCACTACTCAGCAAGATTCCACGTTCCACACGCGTCGACGCAAGTCCTGAGTTCAGTGAAAGTCGGTCCGCAGCACCACTTCCCTGCTGTTAATCACAATGCCTAGAAACAGGCCTCATGGGTAATGTCTGTAGGAAGCTGGACGTGAATTCTCTACACCGACAATGTGTGTAGTGCATCCTGCTCGAAGAGAAGAAGTCCGAGCGTTCACTTGCGTCTCCGATTCGTACTTTAGTGACATCATGCTTCATGTGAGAGGGCGGGTCGTCGCCTGGGTTTCGGACTGTAACTCCAACGGCATAGCCAACTACAGAACACGAACGCGAGCTAGCAGCCTAGGGAGATACACACGCATCCTGTCTTGAGATACTGGTTCGTCCCCTGCATTTGAGTGCGACTGCGGTCATAGTGGTCATGTGCTTCCCAACTGGTGCGGATTTGCAGCTGGCAACACACCGTGCTCGCAGCACAGGGGATAAAACTTTGGGACCGGCATGTCCTTTCACTAGACTCGGATTATGCTGGCGAGACTGCATAGGGGGTCACAGCCAAAGAAATTGAGTACATAATCTTCACCATGTTGCAACAACTCTAGTCGCAAGAAAAATCCTTGGCGAGCAACACACCGTGGTTGCAGAAGAACCACATTACTGTGTTTGGAACATACTTCACTATTATGTAAGTACATAGGTAACGGCAAGCTGATAGTTCGTCAGTAAACCGAACAAGCAATAAACGTAGACATTCAATAAAATTGGTGGGGGAAAATGAATCTGAAGGTGCTACGAAAAGTCCCAATCGTAGAGATGTCATGTCTTCTCATCTGGACTGGGCCGCCACCCTTTCTGTACGGATTCAGCGTTTTATAGCACAAAAAAGTTATCGACGTACTCGCCTAATGCAGGGTGTAAACAAGCTAGATCAGATCCACAGATTGAGGAATCATAGATCAACCAGCACGAGGCAACTGCTTGATGGGTGACATCTCAATAAGATATTCTCTGGGCTACAGACTATTCACAGATTACAAGACATCAGTCCAACACGCACACGTATGCCTCAGAACACGGGGACACGAGTGAGCTGATTAGTATATTACATGCTATCACTGGGAAGACCTAGAAGCCACACCTACTACGTCTTCTCTTGCTCGATTGGAATGGTGCTGGTTCCTGCGCGGTAATAGTTTCATACCTTCTCGACGCAGCAGAACAGAAATCCCAGTAGGTATTTCTTAGATAGATGCCAGCTTGCTCTGGACTGTTTTTGTTAAAAAAGTTCGACTTCTATTAACCACATGATGTAACGATGTCTTGTGAGACTTGAGTCTAGGGCCGTGTTTTGTGACAAGGTTCAGAAGCAAGTTACCAAACTTCAGAGACGTAGAGAATTCAGCCACCGCTGCATCTAGATCTTGCACCAAAGAAGCAACGCAATCCTGATCTATATTTACTTTGTGGCTCAACAGGTTCTGCACCACGCCGACCACGCCTTCAGTCCAATTCCAAGACCGGTTTGAGCGGCTAAAGTCATGTTCGCTCTCCCTCCTAGGAACGAACATCTTCTGAAGAAGGGAGAGAATTAAGTCTTCAGTCAAACAATCCTTGACCAGGCGATTCAAAATTTCACACTGGACACTGGAGGCTCCGTTCTTCGAGCAGATTATAGGAAACATAATCGAATCCATGACTGCCCTCGGATGAATCTTCCCAGCTTGAGTCAAGGCAGTCATTAGTATACGCGAAGCCGGCTTTTCCAGGGCATAGATTTTTGGCAGGATGATAGCATGTAAGAGTTGGGTTGACCAGGCATACCCGTCTTGCTCAACCAAGAGAGTCTCAACCAGTAGGAGGGTAACTTCATCATCGACCTCCCATGCTCGGGCAGCAGACAGAAGACAGGAAAAGTTCGGAGTTGAGCGAACAAGATTGATATCCTTTGGAAGGCCAGGTTCTGAACGAGTACGTAAATTTTGTCCCAATGATAACGCTTGTAGATATAACTCTTCACCTAGAGCTGCCCTCGCAATCTTGTCATCGTCTTCATCAACCAAATTGTCCCTACCATTCACCTTTTTGGATAAATCGATTATTCCCGTATCCGCCTCAATGATCTCCATCTCCAATCTATCCATGTCTTCTATTGTTCGCTCGTGCGTACGCCTCTCAGGTGAGCAAGTAGCTCGCTTCTCATGGTCAAACAGCTCATTCGTCAGTTGCTGAACCGCCGGAACTTCTATGCTCATAGGTTGTAAGGATTCCAAGGTTTCGGATAGATGGGTTTTATCCTGATCTTGCACCTCGTCTCCAGGATACGACTTTTCCAGGGGTAGCCAAGAAAACATGGGACTAGTGTGCTCGCTGCACTTATCGAGCCACTCCGGCATTGCATTATGATCGGACGTCTGGGTGTCCCCTATACCTAAGCGCTGTTCTTCTGCAATGTCAATAATGCCAGATATCAGAATTCTTGAAGAATACATCCAAAAACGTTTCTTTCCGAAATCATGAGCTACTTGTCAGCGTATGATGTGGACCTAAAACCTTCGTCCAATACCTGCTGAGGAAAATGAGGCCCATTGATCGGCATTCTGAGAAGTCGTGAGTAGAAGAGACCTTGCCGCTTGATAAACCCAATAGTCCGCTTCCACTGGAGATTGCAGTATGCGACGAGCCAAGGCTTCCAGGTCCTTCGTGCGAAAATGATTATGTTCCACCTTCAGAAAAGTCAAAACACTGGTTTGCATTGCACTCGGCAGTGTCTGCATCCAGATACAGCTGTCACCAGATGAAAACCGAAAAAATTGTCAAGTACCTCAGTGCATACCTTGAATGGAGAGATAAATTGAAGATGCACTTGTTAAGATATCTTCAGAATGTGAATTAACCAGGTAACAAGGAAAATGGACCGTTCCGCGTCAAATAACAATCATATCTGGCAAACACGGCAAGAACATAACGCTAGTCTAAGAACCTCAATCACAGATGTTAATAGTCGAGAAAAAATTGCCAATGACAGCTTAGCTGCTGACTTACTAACAGGAAAGTAGAAGCTTCAAATACTGATTATATGTGACAATCAGTATTTCGAGAGTTCGAGAGGCTCGACAGAGAATTGGGAATAAGGCCGCTAGACAAAGCCCTGATGCTCATTCAGCCCATCTGGGAGTTCAACATAAAGTGGAACTCACTGCTGATTGCAGGATCGAACACGAAACTCATACCTCGAAGCAACAATGAGTGACAATGTACAATGCCTTCCTGTAAATATGACATCATCATTTGGCCCCGGAAAGATGGAAATTGAACTTTAAAACAATATGATCCCGGAAAGTAATGCAAGGACTCCGAACCTGCCGCAAATCTTCAGCGCCGCACATTTTTTTGAATGCCGAAAAAACCATCGCTACTATTAGGGTCATGCTATCAGATTCGGATATATCACACACGATTTCGGCGTAGAAGGTCCAGGTCACCGGGCTAAAAACAATCAGTTCCCATACCTTGGAGCCCATAAGACCTTACTCACCTGCCCATATTTCCAGTTCGTTTCGTCTCCTCCTCTTCCTCGACGTATACCACCTCCGACGCCAGCAGGTCAGGCACAAGTCGCCATAGTTCACATACTCTTCGTCTCTTTCCTGCCATGTGGTCCTCTCCGAAGGCCACGAAACGATCTCCATGTCCGCGAGATTCAAGCCAATGAACTGCTTCTCCAACAGGTGAGTCGGCAAGTCTAAGAATTTGCAATAACTCTTCCCACTCCACTGTTCCGGCCTGAGACAGCTCGGCTGGGCGCATTGACAGTTTCTACCGAAGGCATTGCCCCACTTTCTTTCCCTGCACGCCTATTGAGCATCAACGGCCCGAAATCAAACGCAAATTTCCTGCTAGACATCCGATTTCTGCCTCGACGCGTGACATGTGACCGGTCCCGCCGTCATCACTTCGAGGGTCGAACTCGGCGACTTGCTCGTTTGAGTCTCGGAGAGACGATGGACCTCTGAGCACGCGGGAACTTCACCCGAGCCTCGAGCCTGTGACGCACTCTGTCGTGCAAGGTCGCAGTCGCCCAAGTACAGTACAGCTCCCACGCAGAACTCCCGAAAACGTTCTACAGAAATGCCGCTGCTCTCGGCTTCAAACTGCCAACAATCACGACAGATTTATCCGAAGAGCCAAACAAATATGTCAGCAGACGTTTCCAGCATTGGAGTCTGCCAGGCTGCAATTGAAGAGTTGCATTGTAACTAGACTCTTTTCATCGTCGAAGCTCGTAAATCGAAGTACAAGAAAGCTAGTAAGGAAAATAATCAGCAGTAGGCTATTTAAATTGACTGAAAATTTGGTTCCCAATGCTTGTTCTATCAATTGCTACATTTTCAACCACCTTGCCAACCTGAGAGATGTCGACGGGGCATCGAACATGATAATAACCAAATGATTTGCAATAATGTGAGGGCAACAAGTAATCAACCACTAAAATTTTTCCAAATCTATATATTTTCGCTTACCCATCTCCTAAGAAGTGAATGGGTCAAATGTTAATCTCATCATCACAAGTTTTGACCATTTCCATGAAGCAAACGTGACATCTGGATGATAAGTTTACATATTTTGTTAACCGTTTTTAGTTAGATTTTTATCCCTCTATTTGCATCCAAGCTTTACACAATATTGAACAAGAATAACCATATATTCAAGACTAATTACTAAATTGAGAATCGATATGAAACTATTTGAAATTGGATGAAGACAATTTGAGCATCTTCAAAGCAATACAAAACATCTTAATTCTTAAATTTCACATAATATTAAAAACATTTGAAAGTCCAGAATATTATAATCACTTGCAAAACTTATCAAAATAAATATGATACAAATATATATTGATTGATATATATGAACACATGTACATCACAATAAACACCTATTAGAACCAAACCTAAATTCAGCTTTAAATATTTCTTCGTCCATGCACTAACCAACATTTTCACATACATAGAATTTTCATTTCAAATATATTTAATTTGAAAGATATTATTTTAGTTATATTTATGGAAAATTTTCATTCATTTGCTTATCATTATTAGTGAAAATAAATTCATTCATGTTCATGACAATGTTTATGATAAAAATATATTCAATGCCATGTGTTATATTGAGTAGAAGATTTAAAAATATATAGCATCACATCATAGATCAAATATCTCCCTATGCATTTACTGTTTAAAATCTAATTATACATAGTTTTAACATATATCATTAACATGATATGATCAATACATTAGTAGTATATTATATATATATAACCATGTTTAATTCATATCTAACATTGATATAATGTGACTTACGATATTTTTAAAATTACCAGTAAGACATACTTTCATATCATGTGTAATCATATTCATGTATTTATCCAAATTTGATTAGATGAGCAAACAGGTTTGTTCAACTACTACTTCTATATATTTTCACAATTTACTAGCCATCAAAGTCATAGAGCTTCTTATATATGTATGAAGCAGTCCCACACATATGATAGATTGATATAGTTGTAATTTCATCAATTATTTCATGCAATTTATATTTCATATAAATTGACACAGTTTTACTTGCGCAATAATCATAGTTTCAATACATACAGGGTACAAGCTCTCAAAGTATAATAGTAAGTTGATACACTTGCTATTAAATCACCTTATTCATATCATATGAATATGAGTAATATGAGCACATTTATAATGAGTGAATAAATAATGCTGAAATTTTATATTACATAATTTTCCATAAAATATTCAAACAACTAAAATAGTGATTCGTTAGAATCCAAATTTTGATTTGAAAATACAAAACTCGGCGTATGATATATGTGATTTTCTGATAAAACTTTCATTACAAGACTAAGCCAGCAATTTTTTTAAAGTATTTTCAAAATTTTATTCATAATATTAAAATCCAAAAATTATCTTAATCTCATTAATGTGTTTATTTTAAATCACATTATCAACATGTAAATATATAAGTTGTTCAATAATTTTTGATGTAGAAATATAAATTTTTCTACATTATTTTTTCAGTTAATATATTTCAATATATTAATTAATTATTTAATTTTTTCACTAAATATTCATATTAATTAGATTTTTGATTCAAAACATTTATTTGATAAATTATTGTATACACAAATTTCAACATATTCTAACGTTTGAAAATTAAGAAAAAAATATATTCACATAGATCAATGATTGATGATAAATCATCTTTATTTCTCTTTTAATCAATTTGGTTCAAGGACTATGTTAATTTCAAAGAAATCCACTTTTTTTAGTATTCATTTTTAATTCAAAATTCAATTAAATGTTAGTCATTGTTATGTGTTACAATATTTCTGATATGACCACTTTTGTCGCATTTTTAATGTACATATGTTGAAAATGTGGCAAAAGTGTTCATATCAAGAATAATTATTATGTAAAGACCAAAGTTGTTCATTACTTGTTAGTGAATGTGGTTTAAGATTTTGATAGCAAGAAATATGACTTACTAGATGATATATAATGATGCTAAAGGTATAGCATATGTAATTCATTAAAGAATATTGATGATATAAAGATTTTAGATTGAATTTGTTCTTATCACATTATTTACATTTAAATGCTTTTTTGTACTTTCTCAATATCTATATTTAAATAGCAAAAAAATTAGTTGGTTGAATAGGTTTAACATCGATATGAAATTGTCAATATTTATTGTGATATTTTTAAATATATGATATCTTTGAAATTTTTCACATGGGTAATGAATTGGCATGAATAGCAACATATGAAGAATAATAACAATCTATACTTGGTTAGAGAAAATCAAGTGACGATTGCAAATGTAATACTTACAGATCTTACTCGAGATAAACTTCCAATAATCAATGGTAGATATATCTTCAAATATCTGGGTAGATAGGCAAGGAGTGTGGCAGCAATAACCAAGTTATCGAAGTTGAAGTATATGCAAGATCAACATATATTTCCTCACAAATCATTAGAGGTACATGAAACTATAATTCCAAGCTTTGACATGTTTCGCAAGATATTTGAAAGGTTACGTACTAGGTGAAAAGTGTTTAACATTCTACAGTAAATTGTGTAGCTTATTATAGTCACCAAGCTACACTATTCCAAGTAGCTAAATCACGTTAGTATTAATGTGAAATCAGATGCTAATGTTACTTTTAAAACCTTATACTTTATATTTCTTATAAGATAATATAGTAGCTAGTCTCTTCAATATTTGTTTTCTTCTGTTTGAAGCTGTCTTCCCATAGTTTATGTATCTTACCCTTTTTCTTTCTTTCTTATAAAGGTTCTCACCTAACTTAGAATAAAGTCATGCAAAACGCAACGTATGTTGTCCAATGACTACATGTTTCTCGCGAAGAAACTGTGCACATGGAACTCACTTTTCCAAGCCATAAACTGGTGGATTTTGGACTCGAGAGTCCGAAGGCCATGTTCGCAAACTTCCCGAGTGTTATGCGGCCAACTTGAAGGGCATTTCTGTATCGTAGACCACAGCAGATAGCTGAGTGGAGCAGATTGCCCAGAGTCTCAGACATGGTTTGCCCGTGAGATCCAACCACTATACACTGCTGATTCGGTCCTTCTAATGAACGGATTGGCGGTGATTACAGATCGCAGCGAGCGGAGGGAGTCTCGAAGATTCGCTGTCGCAAGTGAGATGATTTTGATATCAGGTATGTTGAATTTCGTCTTTTGAACGCAGAGAGGATCTGCTATGTAGTAAATGGGTTGAATTTGCATCCAGACTTACCGTGAATTGTCAGCGGCTAGCTTCCTTCGTGTCTAAGTCCATTGCCAGCTCAAAGTATAAATTCGGGCGTTGTCACGACGTATACCATGAGTTCCCTCTTATTGTTTATAATGCGAGACTTATGCTCCAGTTCAGTTTTCTCAATCGCCCTAATATCTGGCTTTTTGGTTGTGTAAATTCCTCACTAATCCGTGTGAGTTTGTGAGGGTGAAATGTAGGCAACGTGCGTTGCTGGAGTGGTGCAATTTTTCTCGAGGTTTAGGAGGTAATGTCTGCCTGGTGTTGTTTTTCACCAGACAGCCCTCTCAATACACCTTACGAGAATCGCTATTATTGCCAACGTCATGTCACGCCAACGAGCAGCTCTGCAGCCTCCTCCTCCGCTTTTGTCAGCTGTCCCACCCGCAGGTTTGTTTAGTGTACATTTATTTCTGGTCGCGATCTGTTGGACTCTCTTTCACTTCGTTCATTTGCATCGTGGTGAAATTCCGCTCATGGTCAGTGAGCAAATTTTTACTAGAATTTCTAATTTTTTTCTCATCATGCTCTCAAGACCTGTTTAAAAATATGTAGTAGCCCGTGAGTTTTCACATGTCAAATAATTTCTTGCTTACCAGCTGTCAGTTGCGATGTAGATCCAATATCTGAAGGCTTGTACCGATTTCAAACTAGGACGCCTACGTTGAAAATCATGGTGGTTTATATAGAACTTACGTATTGCTGTGTATAGGTGATCACATTATGAAAATTTGTCACAACCAGTAGTAATGCTTCTGCCATTCTTAAGTGAGCAATTCGTGAAAGTAGCAGTTCAGCATATCTGATAGCATCCTGTGGTTGAAAGTGCGTGCGTTCTGTTGGATGCGAGACTCACAAACTTTCTTGACTTATTCCTTGAGTTTCGTCATGGGATTCAAGATGTTGAGGTCTCCAGTTTGTCTTCTGGTCCTGAGCAAGAATCGTGGGCTGTACTTTTTGTTTATATAGCTCGGTGACTGAAGCGAACCTCTTGAGGTTAACTGGGTAGGCTTTTTACGATATAATTGCGTCGACAGCCAAATGCGTACCATTAACATTGTCATGGCTGGTTGTCTTGCAGTTGTGCATGAGTTTGCGAAGGTGGCAGTAACTGGACTTTTGAAGGGTGAGACTTCTTCAAAAGGTTTCACTAAAGCTGCAAAGCAGTTACAAACGACAGTTGAGGCAGTGTCGCAGGCTGTATCTGCCGTTTCTAACATCTACTCGAGAGCATCACGAGCTAATCTTTCATACCAACAGTTGGTTGACTTCCTGGCAATTCAGGGTTATGCGGAGGCCTTGAGACTGGCTTTGGCTGATTATTTCATTGAGCGGGTTGGGGAGATTAGAGAGTATGTTTCATTAGCAGTGCTACAGATGCCTACGTATCGAAGTTTGGATTGGCGCTTAGATTTGCAGGCAAGTTGATCTAGCTCGTGTATCAAGTTTGCTTCATTCACCGTTTGTTTTCTGAAATCAACCTATGTAGGGAGGATCCGGTTGAAGTTTTGATGGGACCATTACTTCACTTAGGTCTTAAAACACGATTTGCACAGCGAGCTTCCAGCTCTTAAAATCACTAGCAGTGATCATCCTGGTGTTTACTTGCCGAGATGCCTTTTCTTCTCAACTGTTGTCTTTTCTATTTCATGCGTTTGTCTGGGAATACGAACGATAACTCTGTATCATGAGCTTTTGTTCAGATCGCTAGCAGAAGCTTACGGCATCAGTCGGCTCCAGTCTTCGTCTTGAGCTTGACTATACAGCCACCGCGAATATTTCAGAAAACCGATAAGGACGATCAAGGTGAAGAAACGAAGGTGGTTTTTTTGGAGGCGAAGTACGCAACTTTGAAGGCAGTATGTTCTCAGCTAGAATTAGCCATCGGGGAGGCACGGAGTGGTGCTCACGGGCAGCGTGTTATGCGGCTTTTTAAGTAAACTTGAGTGAGCTCTTCTCTTGCAGTCCTTCAGGAGGCGTTTACAGACAAGCTATGGCCATCCAGTGAATTTGAACGGCTTCAGCTCTGAACGTATATAAAGTAATTACCCTGTTCTCTTTCCTTCTTAGTTCGCTTGTCGTGAGTTTTAGAGGTTAGAATGAATGAGGAATCTGTATCGTTTACTTTGGATGACCTATCTTTGTTCCTTAAGCCTTTGCATCGCAACAGAAGTCCAAAGGCAGTGGTGCATTAATCCTTCAGGTGTCAAATCCATAATTGTTTGAGTCTGAAATCCCCAGAAGGATGCCTACTACCTCTTTGATATGCCAGCTGTCTTTTAGAAAGCTTGAAACATGGGAACTCTCTATTCACCACATTTTGAGTTTCACCTCCTAGTCATATGGATTTGTTACGAATATAGGAACTCTAGGTTGCGTAAACATGATATTTGTGCGGGATACAAGTGTGAAAGCTAAACATTCGCTGAGTGGATTTCACCGAAGTAGCACGGCTTGACGTTGAGGAATATATTATATTGTTATTTCAGGTAAGAGGACACCTGATTGTGAGAAGCCGCACGGACTCGACCATTTCATGTTTGTGTTATACAAGCCCGATGGTCGATCATCAACACCACCGTCATGTTGAAGTTAGGATCTTTTTACAGCACTGTTTCCTTGTTATTGTATAAGCTACTATAATTCATTTCACTGGACAGAAACACGTGGACTCGCTTATCAAGTTACACCCTAACAGCCTCGTATACTGCTCGAATTTCACACTTGAACATCAATGCGACAAAAAAATCTATGGAATACAGAGTCCTCCATTACTTGATGCCTCACTGTTACTGGCATTCTTTGTCTGCTGTTCACATACGGTGATTATACCATTTTCAACACCTTCAGAATCTTTAGTTATATGTCCTGTAGAGGTTATTGCTGATTGTTACTTGCAAACTCTGATTTCATCCTGTTTTGCATTCAACCTTTTCTCGCTTTGTCATTTATATCGCCTTCCAGACATGTTGTAATATCTCAAATATCATCAATGGTTGCAAATTAGCGTGAGCCTACATGTTTACCCCGGTGTTTAAGAGTATTCAACTGGCCGCCTTTCTACTCCAATTGTCTAAGCCCGAAAATGTGTTCTTTTTGTATCCTAAACTCCATCTGATGTGACTTCTAACTGAGTGGTAGCAGAGTCGGCCTCTTTCTCTGCATGTTGAATACACCTTTGATTTTATGAGAGTGAAGCTGTTGATACTCGAGAAACTTTACCCTCACTATGAATCTCGCAGCAAAACGAGATGTTTGGGTAATCTCCGTACCAATCATTGCATTTAGTTTGTGTAACAACTAACATATTGCGTGGTTGTCGACTAGCTAGATAACAAGCATTTGCTCGCAGAGAGCTAGAAATTGAACTCTTTACCAAGAAAGCTTCTGGTCCGTATCGAAATTGATCCTGCGTTTTATGATCTGATTGAATCTGTAGTCTATCGAAAATCCCCGTACTGAGACGGAGAGAAGTTACAGTTATTTATGAGACGATGTTATCAGGTCGAGAAGATAACAAAACTAACGGTATACTAGGGAGTAGTCACCGAAATATAAGCATGAGATATATGTATCTCGGAGTGGAAAATAAATGCATCACATAGAACAAACGATTTATAACCATCCGGAAATACACTTATTATATCCCTTATCGGGAACGACCCTTTAGTACGAAAAACAATGCAAACTTGTCGATATGAAATTACGACAAACATCAGAAAATGAAACAATTTATTTAATATATTCTACATTTTGAGATTTAAAATCTACTGTTTACATAGTCTTTTGTAAACATGTTGGAAAGCTTGTTTTAGGACATCTAAGTTATCTTGCAAAAATTGAGTATGTGTCTATATGAATTGAAATTGTTCAGTTGATAAAATTATTATATGGATTGAATCAAATTATTAAAAATTGAATTACGAAATTTAACGAATACATAATCTTTTTTTTCAAAATATGGATATTTCATATATATATATGAAAAAAATGAATAATAAAAAAAATTAATTATAGTATTTTTAATATTATATGAATTACATGTTTATATTTGCAAAAGTCAATCCAACGTCAAAAGATGCAAGAATCAACTAAAATTTACGATTGATTTATATCCGGATAAATACAAAAATATATTAAGGATAGATATAAATAAAATTTTGAAAAATTTATATATTATTGTTGAATCAAGTCAAATGACTTCAACCGTATGATTCAAATGTTTACATGGCAAACTCTAAAATAGTATGAAAGTTTAGCAACACACATTAAAATTTTGTAGCTCAATGTTGCACCAATGCGATTGAGAAGAAAAAAATGTCATCAATACTGCGTACCAAAGTTATATACAGTCACATTATCTTGATGTTATGCACAAGATTTGATATTGTTCTAACTAAAGACAATGAGAATAAATACTCTACAAATTCAAGTAAAGTGCATTTTGAAGAAGTTCAATGAATTCTTGGATATATGAAAAGTACTAATGATTTATTTTTTTTATTAATTATTATACAGTGCCAAATTTTTGCTAGGCTATTTTGATGTTGACTATAGAAACAATCTTAATAAGAATAAATCCCCCGCTGAGTATGTATTTAACCTTGATGCTTGATGCATTAACTAGAGATATACTTTGCAAAGATGTGTAGTTCTGGCTAAAAAAAAGTTAAATATGTAGAAATAGCAAAAGTAACAAAGGAGATTATTTGATTAAGTAGTCTCATCATTGAGATGAGATTGATATTTGAGGTTATTAACTTTTATTGTGATAATCAGAACGTGGAACATATTGCTACAATTCAAATAATGTACAATAGAGTAAATCATATTCAAATCAAATCTCACTTTCTGCAATTTATGATATTATCATAGTATCAAATTCACACGAAAGCACAAAAAATCACAAGATTAAACAAAAAAAATAACGTGGTTTTCCAATTCATTATATCCAAGTCAACACAAATGTTAGTATCAATGTTTTAAAAAATTGAGCTAGTTTTCATCACCTTAAGTAGTCTTGCATAGACAATATAACTAATGTGTGTTCACTTTTAACAGAGCTGATAACATCCATGATAAGAATCAATTTTAACAATCTCTTCCTTAGACTCATGTCGAGGATGAGTAGCCTTCATAAATAATATAATTACTCTACGGAAATGACTAGAAAGAAAATTAAAAGATGACTATTTAAGCTAACTAGAAGTAAAACATCATCAAAACATGATAAAATAAAAAAATAAAAAAATAACTAAAATTGCTAATGTACTTGTTCTTCTCATGCAAAACTTGCACATTAGCACAATGTGTGTTAAAATTCTTTAAAGAAATAAATTTGATCAACACATTGGTTGAACTGAATTTAACGTTAATCTTCACTAGCTTAATCACTTTATCAAAACTTATATGTGAAATCTAATGTCAATATCTTTTGATTTGCAGCAAGATGTAATGCATTTTGAACATCACAATGAAGATTAACAACCTCATGTTTCAATACTAATTCAATTTCATCTCAATGTTAAGTCTATATTATCAAATAGCTTGCTTTGTTACTTATATTGTTGCTACATGCTTGATTTCTGTTGTATACTGAACATATATTTTTGTAAGTAGATCTCCAACTAATACATCAATCATCAAATGTAAACATGTATCTAGTTGTAGATTTATTCTTGTGGAGATATTATTCACAGTCATTATTAATGTAGCATAGCAAAAATTTGGCATGATCAAATAAATCAGAATCCTTGATACTTTTCAAATACTTGAGATTTCATTTCACCGTTTCTCAAGATTTGACATGTACATACTTACTTTGGCCATAAATAAAGCAATATCATACCTTGTGCACATCATTAAATACATGAAACAGTTTGCAACTTTGTAATAGGAAATTGATGACATCTTTTACTTCATAATTATAGTAGTTGGACCTTGAGCTGTGAAAATTTTCAAACGTATTGCCAAAGGAGTCCATATTTGTTTGAATTATATCATTTTGATTTTTTCAAGCACACGTTGAAACTCTTTGCTTTGATTCAATCATAGTTTTTTTTCACCAAATCGCTATTAACACCCTTGAACGTCGTAGACTATCCAAATTCTTTCTCAAAGTCAACTAGTTGTCTCATGTAAATTTTCTTCTCTAGAATTATATAAAGATATGTAGTTACTACATTTACTTAATTCATAACCAGATTAAAAATCGAATAAATGATATGAATCAATCAAATTATAACATTTTTTGTTCTAGGTAAGAGTACTTTATTATAGTACACATCTCTTACTTGTGTGTAATCTTCTGTCACCAACCTACCTTTGAAAAATCTTTTTTTGTCACCTGTTAGATTATACTTTAACTTGTACATCCACTTGCAATCAATCAAGACTTGATATTTTGAAAATTTTACTAGCTTTCAAGTCTTGTTATCTATAATTGATTGCATCTTCTCCTCCATAGCAAATAATCAGAAGGTTAAACTTCTTCATAAAAAAAAGATTCACTTCTTCCAAAATCAACACAATATCATCATCGTTTTCTAGATCCATGGCCTTCAGCTTGTCTTTCACTTCTTTCTTCCATCACATATAGTCATCACATTTGTTGTATTTGATTATGTTATATCCTACACCTCCAAACTTAATGATCATCATCTAATTTTGTTGAACACTTGAAGTTATGTCTTGTGTTGTTTGATTGGAAATTTTTTACTTTTCAGTCATTTCTATTTATACGGAGTTCACTCAAGAAGTTGATTTCTTTCAGTGCTTATTTGATCATATTCCTTCCAATTTCTTCCTCTTCTGGCTGACTGAACCCTAACGTGTATCTACTCTCAACACAGTTGATAGCTGACAACACTCATGACAAGATTTAATGCTAACAACCATGTAGGTTTTGCACAAGGAATATAAGTAAAGTTTACTAGCAATAAGTTTAACCTCTCTATATATTTTATTCATCATGTTTTGGTTACGGCTTAGTTCTAATTAGTTCCAACTTAAAGAGAAGTTTATGTTAGAAATTTTTTTTTGGTATTATGCAAAATAATTATATGTATTATTGGTTCCATGACATGAATTAAGGGAGTGATTGTTAGCATCACAAGCCTGATTGTCCGAGTAACATCATCTTAAAATTTTGATTCCAATTGTAACTAACTTTTAAGAGTAAAGTTCAAAAATCCATTTGCACTTACACCAAACCATAAATACTGAAGTATGTGGTTTGCCACTATAGAGTCTTTACTAATATAAACCTTAAAGGATTAAAAAGGGATTTTGCTAGTTTTTTCTTAGAATGATAGCATAAACTGAAGCCTTACAAAGATTAAACTAACGTAAGTTAAGTTAGACCTTACTTATCTACTAATAGATAAAAGAAAAAAATTGGAAAAAAATTAGATCTACAACTAAATTTTTAGTCTTTGTTACATCAAAATCATGTTTATGCAATATTTGGATTGATCTTGAATTTTTGAATATTGGAAAGTTTAATGACATACTTCTAGTTTGATATTACTCAAATCTAATTGCAATTTTGTTATCTTGTGTCATATTTGTATTACTTATGAGGTTTTCCCACATACTATTTATCAACATGATCATCTTTGCCTTGTTTAACTAAAAATTTTTACAAATTTTTTTAAAAAAGAAGAGAATATTTAAAATGAAAGGATTTATTTATCTGTAAATAATCATTGTAACATTTGGTGAATTTTTAAACAAATAAGATTTTTTGTAGCTCTTTGAAAAATATGTTGATATTCTATTCAGCAAAAAACAAGAACAGTACTATAATCAATTTAGAATCCCAAGTGGTCAATATATACTATACATTCTTTAGATATAGATTACATGCTAAAAAATGAATTTGTTAAAAACTATTTGATTTATCACCTGGGCCGACTAGAGTCGGAGTCACAACCTCAAAGTCACGGGTATGCTTTATTCGCATTATTCTATCCAAGGCATGCCCATATGTACGAACAAATATATACATGTATCTCCAGACCTTTCCAACCGACTTTCTTCTAAGAGTGCTTATTTTACGCAGAAGTACAATTTCTGATATGTAAAATGTACGTATTTTAATACGGGCAGCAGGGGGAATGCTTTTTGACGTTGAAAGGGGGCATGGGCATGCCTGGAAGAATTTTGTTGTGCCTCCAACACTAACGTGGACTGATATAACTCTAAAATTCTCAACATAATTCCGAGTGTGGTAGTTGTGTTTGGCACACGTAAATCCAGCCAGTGAAGATGTTCAAGGTGTGGGACATAGTGTGAAAGTGTCTTTGGTTGCATTGCACATATCATCAGCCTGATGAGAAACATACACTCTTAAAACCTATGGCTACACATCAAAATGTGAAAACTTTATCCAGGGCTTGTGATAACCAACAGGGAAACAATTGTACTTGTCAAGTAAGAGAAGCTCAATTATGTACAGGAACTTTCAGTAACGTACATCAGTCAACATTCAAACTTCAAGTATCCTTTTGACAATATGATACTCTGACATGCTCTCCATGTAATTTGAGATGAGACTAAGTCGTCCGTACTGTAGTGGCTTCTCGTATTCAACCCAAATATCTTTGTCATATTTTTTGTGGAAAGATTAGCATAAGCACCGAAATTTAATATCATTTGATAGCTCTTCGTCTAATTCTTTATATACCAATTACGCAGATATGATAGATATAATTTATTCCAATTATTTAATACATTCCCTTTCATTCAGGAAAAAAAACATAAGCAAAAAAGTAATAAATTTTTTTCCCAATGATGTTAGAAAAATTTGCACACTACATGAACTTGATATGTACTTTGAAAGTATATTACAATTTAATAAGATATTTCATGCAACATATGACATTGCAAACATTCATTGAGCTAAATATAATTCTACAGTAAACCAAAGATTGAGCTATATTGTAATTTTCATGTGTATTTTATCTCTAGATTATTTTCTCATTTAACTAAGAAATTTAAAGGAATATTACGCATGAAAACTTCAACATATTTGCAATTTCATTTTTTTCATTGATTATCATTATTTAATATTCATATTTTTTAAACCTTTGTTATCAATGAATGTAAGTTTTCATATAACGAATGATTTGGATTTTTTAAGTTCTTTGTCAAATTCCACTTGTGTGTTAAATTGTCATGATGACTTAAAAAATTTAAAATTTTAATATTCATGTAATAAATTCTGCTTGTATAATTAGAAATATTTTGACAGATTTGAATTTAGTATAAAAGATTTGATACATATCTATACATACATGACAATAACATATGATCATCAAATCATGATTTGTTGAACAAGAAATGAACCATCACATTGTGAGTTTCACAAAATAAAAAACTTAATGATAAATAAAAATTTATATTTCATAGTTAACAGTGCTGATATTTTGAGGTATAATGCAAGCACAAAGTCAACAAATTAATGAAATGATTTGTGATTCACATGATTAATTTGCGTCCACAAGTATCCATTATTGCTTCATTGAAAACCTGAATTGTGTTATTTAGAGTCACAATCCATTTGTTTATATAGTAACAAACTAATTAGATTGACTAATCATGATGTATCAAGTCAAAGTTAACCAAATCTGATTTAATTTCTAACAATCCCCTACTATATTGATATATTATAGACTGTATACATGATTCCAAAATAAAATAAATCTAAATTCTTTCAAAATTAGAGTTAACTAGAAATAAATTGTAGCCAAATTTATATAAAAAGATAATCTAGTCTATTTTTATTAATTTGCAATATGGAAAAAAATCATTTTTCATAAATTTATGTATTTAAAGATTGATTTATTTCCAATTTTGATTATCTCAATTATTATATCTCAGGATATGATATCAAATGTCAATGTGTTTTGATCTATCATTCAATATATGATTCATAACTAGATATAAAACATTTTCGGAGTAAAAAAGACAAAACAAAAGTTGCACAAAAATACATGCATTTTGGCAAAGGCGGACAAAATCAAAACTGTGATAACAAATTGTTTACATCTCAAATATACACAACATACAACTAAAGATAAAAGAGCTACTTACTTCATCTTATTAGCCTAAATTAAACATATTTATGTAGCCTTTCACTTTGGGCCCAGGTTACTTTTATACCTTTGGGTTCATCCATGTACGTACTACTGGGCAAACCATATCCTTTGAACTATAAATTTGTTATTTCCCCATCGAATCAATTTCTTTTTAACACAAATATATTTTCCAGTCATGATGTTCTTCGTTTTCCATCGGTCTAATAAAATGGAAGACAATTTGGTATATCTAAATATACTCCGGTTTTTTCGGAGGCTAAGTGTCGCATATGAGCATTTGACACGTGATGATGACATAATATTAATAATTAATATTATGATTTATTGTGTGTATTCTATTGATTTTTTTGGCCTCCTCCACTTTTAGTCTATTTTGAGCTCTGGAGTATATTGAAGTTCGTTGTTTAATGACATTGAAAATTAGTCTCAGTATTTGAATATTGTGATAGATTAATTATGATAAAAATAGACTGATTTAACTAAGATTTGTATTGAATTCTAATAAACACAATAATTAAAATTAAAACAAGTTGATATATTTATAACTATAAAATACAGAATTCCAAATTTGAGATTCTGAAATTTCTTTCGTTGAGAGATTAGTCAAAAGAACTCATAACCATGCATAAAATTTTGAAAAAAGGAAAACTATACGCATAATTTTGGTTTTTATAATATATCTCAATCTTAATCAAATCAGTGTTATCACTGACCAGACCATTTGAAAACATAATCATTATATCACCTCAATCGAAATTTATAGAAAATATCTAATTTTACATGAACAATGAACTTCAACAAAATATATCTGCATAATTTAACTTGCATTTGATAATTATGTTTACATTATTTTATTTTCAAAAATAAAAATGAGAAATAAGTTCATGTAAATTAATACACTTCTAAACCATAACTCAGGCTGTAACTTATACATAAGGAATCTGCTCTTGCTGAGATAAATTTAAGTATGTCAACGCATATTGAAAAAAAATATTTAACATTCATTCGTTTTGGATGTGCTATGGTAAGAAAGGATACTATTGGTGCAAAGATGGGACGAAGACACCAACGCAGCATGTGTGGAGGATGTTAGGTTTCGAATCATTCTACATGTATGTGTGCGATGATAATTCTAAATACGAAGATTGCATATTATTCGAAACAAATTTGAATTGTGTATGATAAAACTAATCATATTTTATGTTACATGCGAATATGAAATCTCGTAAATAGATGGCGACCGCTTCATTGAGTATCAAATCATACCTATATAATCTCTTTTACATCACTGATGATTACTAATTGATGATGAAACATCGACTAGATGCTGCAATATTACCGCTGAGTAACAAATAATCACATTTATGCTAAAGTTAATCGGTCGACTTGATCACAAGGGAATCATGGAAAAGGCGCAGAACTAACTAGAAGTCTTACATAAATGTCGAAACTCGGAGATGATCATGAACGGTTTTGAAGGGAGCATCCGGGAGAGCGTCGGGAAGACAGCAGCGGCCCACGTGTATCCTGTGATGGCGTGGGATTTCTAGAAGGTGTCACGGATTCCGGCACAAGTGGAGGACTCCTGGACCCGCGCTGACAGCGTTCGCGGTCAGAGACACTTCCGCGGACCGGAGCCCACAAACTTTGACGGATGGGAGCCCCGCAATTTCGGAGTTGACTCCGATTTGACGACGACGGCGCAGCTCGAGAGTCCAATGCAATGCCGGGGAGCAGCTGCGCGATGCTCGAGTGTGGACTCTGTTGCCGTCAGAATGAATCGTCGGACGCGAAGGTGCGGGAGTCTGTGATGCGCCACTATCTGGGGTCGCTCTCGGGGGCGAGTGGGGGCCGCCAGGCCCGAGGAGGAGGAGGAGGAGGAGGAGGAGTCGAAAAGAAGACAAACGTCAAGAGATTCCGCCTGTGGCGAGGAGGCGACAAGGCTTGCGGGTCTAGAGGTTTGCCATGGATCGATAGCGATCCCACGTCTATGCCGCCTGCCCGAGTCCACACAGAGCCTGTCACGATGTGACGATGGCAGATGAGACAAGACCGCAGTTGTGTCCGGTCGAGACAAGACTCCGTGAAGCTTCCCGAGGCTTTCCACATCTTCTGAGATGTCGTGAGACAAAGCTGCGCTACGCTCAGCATGTGCTGTGACGTAGCATTTCGTTCTCCCGTCGAAAAAGAACTCGCCCTTGACAAGTCGTCGACGACTCTTCTACTGGATCGTGCTAATTTGAAAGAAACCCACGCAGCTGCTGGACTGCTTTTCTGCTGCGGGCTTGGAAGAGGCTTATAATTGTCTACTGTTGCATGAACGTACGTTCCTTTTGGAAGGGGGTTGATTTGGCAGCGGGCGAATTCCGCAGGATTCTACGAACGGTTGAGCTCTCGCTGAACCAAGCTCCACGGTCTAGCAGAAAGGGGGGAGACCGACTCACGAGGCAGAGTAATTGCTGGCGGATGAAATGGCCAGTCTTAGCTGTGGGTGCGCATGTACATCATGATCACAGGCCCCTGGTTTCATCCTTGTGTTTCATCTACAGAGGCAGGTGGGTTGATCTTTCCACGGTCTTTCAGCAGGTGCATATCTGCACATTGCTCTAGCACTCCCAAAAACGAAGAGGATTGTTGCGGGCGTAGCGCACTACAATACTGCTCCAATGTTGTTACACAAGTTGCTCAAATATTGGATATAGATTGGTACATGAGGTGCATGCGTTCAGGGGTGGCGCTTTTGAAGTTGATGGACTGATGGCATGCAAGCTTCGCCACTTGAAGAGCAGGAGATCCTGGCTTGCAGTGGGCTGATATCACTTGCAGTGCAGGGCACGTCACACAGCTGTAACTGAATCTTCCCTGACTTCTTTCTCCAGAGTATCGTGGTTCATCACCTAAAGCAGATTCGGAAGGAGGTAGATGTTGATAGTGGGTCTTCGCAAATTTCATACAGAGTTAGGAGGATCATCGGGTTGTTTAAACTGCGTGGTGCCGATTCCTTTGACTGTTAGAAAATTGCTGACCGAAGATTATGAACACTGAGTAGAATGAATATATATCCCTTGTGTAGTAACCTCCGTGGTTCTCGGAATCAGACTCTCACGACTCGCGGTTCAGTCATGGAAAAGTCAAGTGTCACGAAGGCCTCCTTCTAAACAACTCTATACCACGACTTTTCAGCTGGTGTTCAAAAGTATCAGTTCCAGGCGCTGGGCTTGTCAAGAATGGACTCGGAACTTAGCCACGTAACTCTTAAATTCACGCTCTAATTTTCAGGCGCTTGAGTAATCGAGGACTTAGCGGAGACTTGGGACCGGAGGTTGGTGAGTTGAAGGAGTTATTCCTCCTGGATCTAAGTGAAAACAGTAATCAGGGCGATATGAACGTAGCCTCGTGCGATAAACTTCGCCTTCTGTAAGACCGCTGGAGCAATTTCCTGGGTCTAGTCCTCTAGCTCTCTACGTTTTCGATTTTCGTGAAGAGCCATAGAAATTCCAGCCAGCAGACTGTTTATCGTCTATTCTATCTCCATCTGCGCATTCGGTGTGATGAGAACTGCTGTACAGCTGAAAGTGGTTCATTTCTTGAGGTTCACTCAATCGTGTCACACAGCTTGCCTCGTCATCATACGCAATTCCAAGTCCCAGAATCAAAGGAGTGTTTCCTTCCCTTTGGTGATACCAAAGCTTTCCCAATTGGAAGAATTGTAAGTGATGCCTTGTTATGATGGTTTATTCTGTAATATCCTTGTAGGGTAAGTTTATCGTAAGTACGAGTTGAGAGTGTACCCAGATAACTGCATGATTTGGACACCAAATCCTGGGGAACTGAAAAGAATTCTTCATTGGAGCAGAGATTCTATCACCGTGTTTGTCCCACACAACAAGCAAGGAAAGAAGGGCCTCTAAATAGAAGCCACAAACCTTGCAGAAGATTTGGTAGTGCAGGATTGTTTGGACGTGTACCGAAGGAAATCTCCGATCTTACTATCTTGTGAGTGCCTCTGTTCCAAAACTGAAGTCGGTCTATTCTCCGGCATGAGATATTTTCAAGACTTTAGTCAGAGGCTCAATTCATTCGAATGGTTTTAGCTTCATAACTCGTACATTAGTTCCAACAGATTAACTTACAGGTTGTCCATATATGCCGTTTACATATATACTCGTCTAGTTTAATTCGCTTGTTTTATAAACAGGTTTTGAGTACAAAGGAAATTTGCAACTTGTAGAGTAGGTATCGTGACAATAAGACGGAGTTACCGGCGGACCTCAAAGACTTCAGGATACTAATCAATCTTGAGGAGCTGTTAGTGGACAATATATATGCGAGATCTATTTATTTAATTTTATGTTTTGACTTTGTCTAATATTTTGTTGTAAATTCATAACGTAAGAAAATGTGTCGTAGAAGCAGATTATTCATTTTCAATCTTCATTAATCTGATCTTAAGTGCATTCCTTTGGTTGTCCCCTCAGGTCCCTTTGGCTAATTAGCTTCAGAGATACCCGAGGAACTGGGAAACCTGAATAACTTGCAGTACTTGTGAGTCTGTATTCTGCAGGTGTTGTTTATACCGGTATCTGAGCAAACGTCAAACTTTGAGCTCAAAATTGTCTTGACGTTTATTCGTTGCAGCAATTGCCATGATTGTGTCTCCACGGTGGACTACCACAGAGTTGTGCTGGATTGCTGGCTCTCAACCGGATGTAAGACTGCCACTTGAATGCCATGGATCCTTTTCTGTGAAGCTTAAGGAACCTCGCTATCCTGCTTCAAATAAACTGGTCTCTCCTCATTGTCGCTGTGGATCTATTTTTCTAGAGCTTCCAGATGTCACTGAAGTTCTCAGAGTATGACTAAAAGTTGGTAAGCTTGGGCACTCACCCCTCTAATTTAGGACTTAGGGTTTTGAAACGTAGCTATCCATGATAACATGGAAAGCTATGTTTCAAAAATTGCTGTGTGATGTGTGAGATGTAAATTAATTAGGACTTCAACTTGACGAACTCCTTGTATAATAACATGTCCCTCTCACCTACATTTTTGCTGCCCTGATCCAGCTGTCAATCAATATTGTTTTAAACTTGCTGTGATTGGCCGCATATATCTTCGCCAGAACTCTCTACTGGAGGCATAGCCGATTCCTGGGAAAAATTGCAGTCCATGGAGTACTTGTAACTGTAACCTTTGCTCATTGAGCCTTTGTGTGGGTGGTTTGAGTTTGGTTAAATTAGCAAGTTATAAATTGATATTATCTTCATTTTCATCTATTTTAAAACTGTGGTGTTTAGGCCAATTACATCTCGTTCCGGCAAGGCTGATGTGTGGGTACATGACCCTACATTCGTTTGGATTCCTTTGCACTTCTTGGGGAGTTTCCTGAGTAGGATTTCAACGGAATGCCCAACTTGACGAGTTTGTGGTTATCAAACCAATTAACCAAAGGTGAAAGTATGCTTGAGATTAATCGATTATGGTGTGCCTTTTGCAGCGTTGATCGTAATCTGTTCCTCATATTTTCTGATATCTCCACTTTGCTCAACTTGACAGATATTTGTCCAGAAATCAAATTTTCTGGAAAACCTCCTGATATTGCAATTTTGGAGGAGGAATACAATGTGTCTACAAGGTTCGAAGTAATGGGATTGAGTTGTCGTTTTCTCTCTCTCTCCATAATTGAGTTACGTTTCTTTGGCAGGGAATCTCACGAGGGAGCTAAGGGCATTCTTCGGTATTATGGCGGAAATTTTGATCAGTCATTTATTTTATGGTTATTGCTTATTTGTAAAAAGTCTCCTCGTTCGACATTAATTGCTTATGTTCATGTTCCTGAAGTAAAATGAACTTGCGCTTTGCGTCGGAATCTGTCATGAATTCCAAAATAGATCGATTGCACCAGTCTGCTGCTGATGAAGCATTCTGCATCTTCAGGCGCTGGGATTGTAGCTACTCGGGAGGACCGACACCTGTGGGACACAAACACCTTGCAGAAACGCAAGGTGAGTTAACGAAGAAAGACTTTCTTTGTTCATAGGAGATTATGAGATATGGTACAAGCGGTTGACTTGGCTGTTTCCATATCGAGACGAGATGTGATAATGTGTAAAGTTCAGATTTTTATTTCTATCCGAACTGTTACGAAGACACTTCGATCGACCAGTGTTAGTGTATGGCCGACACGATTCGTTACTCTTGACATATATCAAGAGTAACGAATTGTGTCAGCCAAACATTAGCTTCTGTTTAGTTCGAAAAAACAATCATTAAACAAAATGACTATCACGGTTGTTCATCTGGTCAAGAGCTCAATCTAGCTCTCCAGCCAGCAATGGATGTGAATCCAGCCTACATTCCTCTCCAAGTATGCCAAGTTATACCATGTTACGTTCTATTGTGCAAAGAAGCATAGACGGGCAAAAGGATTTGAAGATGAAAATCTTAATCATGAAATTTTATCTCTAAACAGTTACCCGCAAATTGATTGGCGAATAATCTATATAAATCAGAGTACCAACGCAACTTTCAGTCCTCTTATTTACTGTATGACCATGTGGGAGCCGTCGTAGGTGGAGTCTTTGGGCTGGCCTTCGTGTTTACTGTCAGTTTGGGCCTCGTCCTTTAAAAACGCAGAAAGCAGTTCTCTTTCATGGACGTCTTTGCTCGCAAAAAGGAAGCTGAAGGTGGGGTTATGCAACCTTGAAAATCAAAGTTCAGTAAGATGACCTTGAACAGTTGTTGTGTTCGTTATTGATCAGGAGCATTCCTGGAGCACGAAGGATCAATCAGCTTATTGGGCTTAAATTGTTCGGATGGAGAGTCTGCTGAGTGGGTCATACTTGCTGGAGTTCAATGATTCACCGTGGAGGAGTTAGTGGATAGCTTCAGACTTCAGTGACGAACATGTAATAGGACACGGGGGATTCGAAAAAGTTTATTTCGCAACTCTTGATGACGGACGTACGGTTGCGATTAGAAGGGCCTCCGCTCGAAGCGTGCAGGGTATGCGTGAGTTTCGAAACGAGATCACACTTTTGATTCGACTTCACAATCGACATCTTGTTCGACTCGAAGGGTTCTGCATTGAAAGAGATTTTCAGGCATGTTCTGTCAGTAACTCTTGCTACATGTATAGGTCAGATGATGCTATTCCCAACCACATACCAGCCACCAAAACGTCCTTAGCATGCAGGCCATTTCAGTCAGATGTGGACTTTGGAGAAATGAACGCAATGGTCTCGAAGAAAGTTACATGCTCGTTTCTACTCGAACGTTTATCTGGCCATCCACAACACGCAGCTACTCATCTACGAATTCTCGAAGAAGGAAAATCTTCAAGAATTGTAACACGGTGAGTAGTACTTGATATGAGAAGATCGAAAACGTACGTATTGTAGCACCCATCCACCTCCACCTCGTACCCAATTGCAGATGATCGGAGTTGATTTTAATGTATAGACGGAATCAGTTTTTCTTTCAGATTTGTGTAATACGTCTTAGTGTGTGAACGGTTTACTCATTTCAAATGAGCGTTGTGTTCCATGGGAAGGTGTTGTCTTGTTTGAGTATATTTTGTTGCAGATGTATGGAATGGATGCGGTATACAGGCTGTTCACGATGTCTTATTCAAGATATTGAAACAACTTCATGGTCCCGTCCAACTGGACGCTGCGTAACTTTAAGAAGAGTTCATCAAGACCAATGACGGTCTAGTTCCTGTTACAAGTACTGTCATGCTTCTCGTTGAAAACATTTTCTTTTCTTTTATTTCCTTACGTCATTGAGAACTTTGTCCGGTCTGAAGCCTTTGACCGTCTTCTGCACCACAACAGGTTCCCAAGAAGAATTTTCCGCGCACGTTGATAGCCTAAGACTGGAACAAGGGGGTCGAGCAAGGCATAGGTGCCTCGTTGTGCTTTTATGTATCTATGTCATTGTTCGTGGCCCAGTGCTGAATGAAAACTGAATGCAACAAATCAAGTGGACAATAATTGCCCTGTTGACCATATTGAACTATCATTGCACAAGCATTTACTGTCCACGGCTGTACATATACAACGGTATCATTCTCGTTTTGTCTTATTTGCACAGGGATAAAAGTGGGAGCCGGCATGCCTCTAACTTCGAAGAAAAGGTTAGACGTAGCCTATGGTGTTTCTAAGGGACTGGAGTATCTTCACTCATTTCGCGGTAATTCCTTCACTCCAGGCTTCATCGGTATGTTGGTGATGATTGTTATGGTTTATGTCAAAGGGTTTATCTCGTCAGTAACTAAGATCGGATGTAGGACCTAAACTTGCAGCGTACGGATCTGTAGTCCCCAGCTCATAGAGACGCACGTCATCAGTAAAGCTGGATAAGGCCGTCTTTAACATCGAGGCTGAGTGTTAATCGGATGGAGTTAATCAATCGAACCAGAAATTCCTTGTCAGTGGATAAATCGTTTGTTATTTACTACGCATCTCGAGGGTCATGACTTATGACTCATAAGTTATGACCATGCTGCTTGCTCATGTACGAAATCCTGTACTTCTCACCAACCGCAGGATCCTTCTGTAATTCATCGCGACATAAAGCCGTCGAACATTCTTCTCGACGAAATACTGGTGGCCAAGGTAGCCGATTTCGGAATTTCCAAAAAATCCCCTGGAGAGGGTACTCACGTGTGTAAGGATGGTACTGCTGGGTAAGGATGGTAGATTTCGTCTGACGCAGATATTTCGAGATCACTCGTTAGATCTAGGTGATTGTTTCCTTGCTGTCGCCAAGCGGGAATGAATTCCTCATCTCCCGTTCAGCTTTTTGTCTGTGAGTCACAGGACACGAGATTGTCTAGAGCGTACTTTTTCGACCTAAAGCTTAATATCCTGTGATACTTACGTAATGCCCTGCCTTCACTTTGTTGTGCCCAGCAGAAAAGTCGAATACCGACCCTGGTTTGATCCCGAGCAAACTACCCTTCTAAGCGCTCGGGTCATATTGTCTCTGCAGAGCTCACAAGCTGTTTTTCGGAATGTAACGTTCACCTCGTCAATCTCCGCAGATTTCCCAACCCTGAATTCTTTCTGAGTTACTATGGCGGGTGACGTGTTCGCTTATGGGGTCGTCTTGCTCGAGCGTTTTATTTGACAAATGGGAATCGACAGCAATCGACCTGACGAATACAACCTGATTCAGTGGGTAAGATATTTAGAGACGCTAAATACAGCATATTGTGATCTACCCTCATATCGAAGTAAAGCACCAGATTTTCTTATGTCCTCAGATTGAAGCGTGGTGTTGAATTCATTTTACCCTGCGTTTCATCACCTCTCCCATTGACAGGTGAGGAAAAGATTCAAAACGGCCAGTTTTTTCGAATATAGACCCCGCTTTCTATCGAGAATAACTACTCACCAGAGCTGATACAGGGGTGACAGAGCTAGCCCTCAACTGCGCCCATTTTCCGAAGTCCCCAAGACCATCAACGAAGGTATAGCCGCACAAACTTGACGAGTCGTAAGTTTTTTGTACTCTGTTCATGCTACCTATTTGTTTCCTAGCGATATTTGTCTGGGACCTGTATATCAGTAGTAGGTGCAGGTCGGAAGAAGACGAAGAGAAGGCGATGTCCGCTGCCACCTGGAAGGCTCGAGTACCTAGAATCGGTCGAATACGTGAAACCAAAAGTCATTCACGGCATTACCGAAACGATAGTTCAGACGTAAGAGTAACTCGTGCTTAAACCACGATCATATTTGACGGCCATTGGATTTCGACTGATTGCCTTCTGTGGGTACCAGTCCGGTGTGACCACATGTGAGCCAATTTATGAATGCAAGCTGCCAGGGGGGAGATTCGAGCGAACTTTGGTGCGAGATCACTTTTGATTTATGCATTGAAGTCTTTCATATTTCTGAAGGAAGGCGGCTAGTATTCATCTGAGACAGGAAGTTTTGACTGCTTTGGAAACGATAAGCGTTATCGGATTGCCGGGCACGCCAATCACTCCTACGGACAGAGAGGAAGACTGGCCAGCGAGGAGACCCGGGCACAGGTATCAATACATGAGCATGGACAGTGAGTCGGCGAACCATACCGAAGGAGGTCAGGCTTTGCGATCCATCCGGCTCAGTCGCGGGAAGTACAGGAGACCTGACACCAAGGTAGATAGATTTAAGTACGCTTGCATCGTTCCAGAATCACCAGAGTATACGTGGGACTCATCGTGTGAGTCGCCATGAATAATATTTATTGTCTGGAGGTCGAAGTGGTGCTTTAGTACCATGTGTCAATTATCAGAGGACAGTGTGCAGGGCAACAGTGGACCGATCAACAGACCATTGTTCGGCAACACGATTTTATAGCCATCCTACAGCCCAGGAGGATGTCACTAGTTCTGATTCCCAACGCAAGGTAAGGTAGAAGCTGTCAAATTCTTGGAAATCAGACATGCACACCTTGTTTTACATTTGTTTGTGATGCAGTCAGCGCAGGGGACTGAAATAAGCTCTTTAAGTTCTAATTGTCTTTAAGAAGTGACGTGCGAACTTTAGATCAGCTTGAGAATTTTGCCTCTCACATACTTCACGTGAAGAGGATATTACTATTTCCGGAAGAGTACGTATAAAAGTTCATACCATTTCCGGCACACAACCAAAGCAAGTACAGTAGAACCTCGTAAAAAGTACACGGATTTATTCCAAAATAAAAGTGAATGGTTAGTTATCACTCGGTTAGAGCTAATTAGCCTCACTCTACTCCCATCTCTTCTATGGTAGATGCAGTGTTATAGGTTTCTCGGATGAGTAGGGTGTTCGAACAATCATAGAATTGCGTATACTAGGATGAGTCCTAAGTGCGTGATAACTAACTCTCCTCAAATAAAATCACTTTGTAATTTAAATTATATGCGTGTTTTGTGCAGAGAATTTACCATAGATTTTTCTTTTAGGGGTTCACAGATTCACAATTTATTTTGTCACATGAAAAATGTTCAATTGTTGATTGTTTTAAGCATGAATGGTAAAGATGCTTGACATTGGCACTCTAGTTCAAACTTCTCATTGTATGTCATGAGTGTTTTTTTCGCAAACCCTATCGGTTGAACAACCTTTTTTTTTTTTTTTGGGGGTTATATTGAGACCGCTGCATATGGTTCCTTCAAGTTTTTGGATTCAAGAAGAGATTCTTTGCTATCGTTCTCATCAGCAACATCATTGTGCTCCTTGATTAACTGGAGTATCAAAGTTTGCTCTTCAACTACTTCAAATTTTGTTAAGTTCTCTTCGATGACTAGCTTATCTCGATTGATGCCAACTTTGGAAGCAAGATTAGCGAGCTCTTCTTCTTGTTTGGCGATCTCATTGTCATCCGTGACCACATCTTGATTTACAACAAATCCTCATCTTGCAAATTTTTTTTGTAGTGTTTCTTCCTTTATGAGGTACCACGTCTTGTTCATGAACTTGACTGCATTTAGATTCCTGAGCTTCTTTGCAAGTTTTGATGCATGAACGAAATTGTTAGTATTTTCCAATATAAAAAGTACTTCAAAATTTTGGGCAAACGAGAATTTTACCAGCATCTAATGGTTGTAGGATACAAGTGAGATTTGACAGAAAGAAGCGCACTTCGACGTTTGACAGCAATATGTTCTCATCAACAATGTGTACTCGGACATTATCCAAAAAAAGCAATTATTTTTGCCCTTTTCTCTTGAAATGATCATCAAAATCTTTTAAGTATTGATTATAAAATGGATTCGTCATCCACCTTTTCTCATATCCTGACCACCAAAGTATCTCGGATTCTTTGATTTGCCAATGATCAATGATGGCAATTTTTTGCCCATTGCTGAGCAAGTAAGAGCTACAGTAATTCAATATTTTCCTTACTTTTTGCCCTTGCATGACTGTTTAACTTGATTCAATGTTCAGTCCGGTAATGCACGGAAGAAAAATCTTGTCTCATATATGTTAAAGACATTTTTCAAATCATATCCAATCAGCATGGATTGCAAACACAATTTTCATTGACAGGCTCGCTCAAAATCCACATTTCCAGGTTTTCCACTGATCTTGTAAGAACGAACATTGTTGCGCTGCTTTCATTTTTGTAGCCAACCTTTCCATGCAAAAACCTCTGTTGGTTTGATTCCCAGTTCATGAGCAATTTGTTTAGCTTTCTCTTGCACAATTGATCCGCTGATCAGAGATACCCATTTGCACGAGCAGTGGCAAAATATCTCCATAAAATAATGTTGATGTCGTTTTTTTTTTACAATTTTTACTTTCAACAGCGAGCTGTTGCTCTCTACCTTACTGAGCAAGGCATTTTTGCTATCCTTAGCAGCATAAATTGTACCTTTGGAGACTTTGAACTTCTACACTGTGGCCTTGATGCTATGACCTTCGTCAAGGTGCTCGACGATAGTTAGTTTCGTGATGAGATCCAAAAGCTGTCTCTTCTTTTGATCTCGTTTCATTGCTTCTATGAACTAGATTGAGTGCATGATGTACCTTACATGAAACAACTTGTACTTCACGATCTTAACATATGTGTACTTTATATAAATAGTTTTTTAATACAAAAATAAAAGGGTTGGCTTTTACAAAAAATTTCTATACTTTTTGCAAAGATGTACTTTATCTAGATTATACTTTATACAACGGGTCTATTGTACTTGTCAAACCTCATTGTGATCACTTGGATTCATTTGACGAGAGTGTATACCATCACAATGATTCATGAGATCATGGTGTCATATGTATACACGTATTGTGAGTTGTAGATCGACATTGGATTCAAGTTCAAATATGAGAACGTTTCAAGTTCAATGTGAGTGACGTTGAGTTGGGTTGACTCTCGATCGAGAGTATATTCGAAACGAGCTCGAAGAAATGTCAATTCTTTGAGTTGAGCTTTTTGCGCAGGGATATGTCAGAGGCCGCTAGATTCGACTCTACGTCTCTGATTGGAGTGAGTTTGGCTTGACTACCATGTGTACTTTTGTGTCATCTTGAACATCAGATTTCACTTGAAGAATTGTGTGATACCTTTGTGTGTGTACACTCTTGTTCCTTATGTATATACGTGTGAGTGAGTGAGTAGAACATGTCAGCGATGTATAATGTATGGCGATACCGAATCTCACGACAATGGTCATACTAGCTCTATCATGTCACGTGGAATATGCTATATTGGCAATTATCACTTTGAAGTCAATCCAATCAATAGTTTATGATTAGGTTGTACAGTTATAACGGTCTTTCACAACTGAAATTTAGGACAAGAACCCTCTACAAAGATCATATTTTTGAAGAAATTGTATTGGGAAAAATATAGCCATTACAGGATATATGTTGCCAACTTAGGAATTTGCTTTGGGGAGTAAGTTAAAAGCATCATGAGAACACTTATCAAAGTCCAAACGGTATATAACAAGTGGAGACAATCACAATTTACATTCTTCAAAATGCAAATTTAGGGAAACTTATGGAGTCTTCAAGTCATTAAATAGCAATTTCAAAATCTATTCTTTATTATGTTGTGAATATATTTTCTTTATAGTATGACGTGTTTTATCTTCAAAAGAGATATCTACATGACAATGAAACATTAGTTTAGATTGATTTAAGAATCACTTTAAGTTTTAAAATTTCAGGGTTATATCTTATTTACAAAGTGAATATATTGATGAATACAAAGAGAAAGGAGAAGATTACGAGTTTCGCTTTCTTAAGACCGAATATAACAAAATGAGGAAACTACGTGCGTAATTACCAAATGAATTTGACCATAGGCTCGCGGGGCTCTCTACCCCAATTCCATATACGAGGCTGGTTGCTATGTGCTATTCGACGAGGTTAGTACGCATGGCACAAGATGACGCGCTTGGACTTCTTGACTACTTCGAGTTTCTTTTCAGTTGATTTCATTGCCCAGACAATGAATAAACTTAGATCAAAGATGCGCAACCCACACATATCAAACTCTCTCCTATCGTGGCGACATGCCAAACGCTTTGGCTGTTCCTTCAACAAAGTGAATCCAAAAAACACTTCTTTTCCTGGCACTACATGCTTCTATGGTAGATAGAAGATACTTTGACCCTTATTACTCCCTTACTAGTGATTAATTTTCACTCGTTATTTTATTAAAGTGATGATGTGATATACTGTAGAAGGCAACAACATGGTCTGCATGTATCTACTGATACGAATTTTTTGTATGATTACAATTCGGTTACTTTATTGGTATCAGTTTTTATCATAAATAGTCTATCAATTTTCAATTATGAACATGCTACAAATTATAAGAGTTCAAGACTCATTTTTATTGAAGATTTTTACAGCCTAAACTGGTATCTACAACCAAGTATTTTAATTTAGTTCTAAAGCTTTAAACCCCTTCATAGTGATGATTTTGAATAAATAGATATCTATTACTCAATATCATTTTATAAATAAAATTTCTGGAATTTAGCATTTTAATTTGATACAATGAATGAAGCATAATTTTTGGCAATGTCATAAATACTTAATTCGATTCAAATAATAGTTTCAAATTTATTTTTTATAAAACTCTGTATATTTTGACTTATTTTTTTTAATTATAGATGACATGTTGAATTTGACACTTCAAGTTTAAATAACTTTGCAGCTAAATTGCTATATGAGAGCCAATATGAGCACTAAGTATTATTATTTATCTTAAAATTATGATCAATAAAATGATAAAGCCAAAATTTTGATTTTTTTCAGTAATCTTTTAAATTTATCAATGTATTGTGAAATTAAAATCACAAAAATCATCTTGACAAAACACGAGAAATCATCAGCCAACATTCCGAGCCAGAAATAACGTCGTTCATCCTTGGAACCAGGGCTACGTCCACCGAGAACACGTTGCATTTTTGCTCACAAGACTGACCTCATGTACAACAGAAGCCGGTTATTTAACCCTTGTGTAGAAGACAATTCTAGCTAAATATAGTTAGGATCTGAGGTTACTTCTAAACAGGAGTTAACTTCAACAATATGCCCCTTAACTCATGTTAAAGGAAACTCAGTAAACTCTCTAACTTATATTATTACTCTGCGAGAAGTTCTAGACAGAAACCTACCACAATGTCACTCTTTAAACCAGAGTTAACTAGAACTAAGCCGTAGCCATAACATGATAGAGTAATAATATACATAGATAACTAACAATCTCCCCCCTTAACGTGTGTTAAGAAATCTCAGTCATCATTGCACTCTTAACCTCTTAACCTTTCATCTCAAGTTAAAAATTGTTCTACTTAACTTAGGTTAAGTAATTAGTGCACTTTTAAACTCTCAGATTTTTACTTGTTAATATGAAAATCATGTACACTCTTCCCCTATTTCAACGAGATATGCACATTAAAATGACAAGATTACTCTTCACTTCTTTCAATGAGCTAGACACATTGAAAGATAATCTTTTTGACAAGAATTCTTTTGACACTCACCACTCACCGTCACTCCGACTTACTGCATCCGCGATTAACTATTACCATCGCCCACGACTTACCACGTCCACGCCTTACTGCATCCGCAACTCACAGTGAACTGTGACTTACTGCGTCCACGCTTTACCGCGTTCACGCCTTACTGCGCTTGCGACTCACAGTCACCCGTGACTTA